TATTCGGTACCGTAACGATTACACCAGTCTGGTGTTGTACGCCTTCCGTGTGGAAAGGGGAGGGAGGGGGTGGGTGATAAGAAATTGTCCTCACCGGATGCCACCTGACCTTGCTGCGTCACTGGGTAGGTTCGTCAACAAACCTTCTGATATTGTGGCCCTAAGAAAGACAGTTGGAGACTCGCTGGTGTGACCCCCCTCACAAAGTGTGCTAAGTCGCGCCTGTGAATTGTTTCACACCTGGCCTTGTGGAACAGGGCGTGTGAATGTCCTGTCCGCGTTAACTACTAGAACGCTGAAATTATAACCGACGCTGCTTCAGCAAGGGTTGAACGTGGTCAGATTATTGTTTTCTCCCACCAAACTACTCAGGAGAACGGCTACCTAACATGGGATGGCGCTGTTGTAGTATCGGCTGATAGGGTTTCACACAAAATATATCCAATTGTCTTTGTGTGTGTGTGTGTTCGGTACACTACATCCGTGTTGTAAGGAAAAGGAGGAACAGTACCGGTATGAGTGAGTAGTGGTGGTGGTAGAAGCAGTAATAATGGTGGTATCACTATTGGTGGTAGTAGTAGCAGCAGCGGTAGTAGTAGTGCTAGTTCCGGGGTAACAGCAGCGGTGGTAGCAGTCGGTCATACGGCTTGGCAACGAAGACCCCGCGAGAGTTGGCAAACCGTAGCCGATCGCTCATAATCTGCATTGTGTCTACTCTGTTGCAACTACCGAGCGACACAGAACCTCCAGTTTTGTCGCTTTAGTCTCAAGAAGTAAGTCGTTCGCGCCACACTCATGGCTGATTATAACATCCCATGGAAAGCGACAGCAGTACCTCTCGCCACTGACCGCCGGTACTTCATGGGTAACCGGAACCGGATTAGGAGGAAGTTCCAAGGATTGGACCACACGGAGGAGGATGCTGGGTAAACCTCCAGGATTGCATGCGTGTGTGCTCTATCAATGCTGCCCCTCACCCCCTCCCTTTTTTTCTGCCCCCAGATCTTGGTCTGTTTAAATTGGGTTAAAATTTTTGAATCTGGTTTTTTTTTTTTTTTTAATATAAAATCGACGCATCATTTCCATAGATATTTGATCTCTCATGGCAAATGTTTTAAGGTGTAGATTCTGTTTCAGTAGCGCGCAGCATGTACATTTATCACACTGTTTCTCCGACACTTAACTGTAAACTCACGTAAGCTGACACGATATGTTGTTTCATGTCTAACATCGTATCTTATGTCGCCTTTGATTTTCGATAGGGGGCCTCGTGTCTGTGCTGTTCCCACCCCCTCCCCCACCCCCTCCCCCCCACCCGACCCCTCACAGTGGGCTCCAGCTACCCACACGGGGATGTCGACTGTTATGAGAACACCAAGAGATATCTGCACCTGTGTTGTCACACCGCCCATTGTGAGAACCTTTGAGAATGCGTGTGTGTTTGCTGTGTGTCGACAATCGGTGCGACCCACAACCCATTGTGAGAACCTTTGAGAATGCGTGTGTGTTTGCTGTGTGTCGACAATCGGTGCGACCCACAACCCATTGTGAGAACCTTTGAGAATGCGTGTGTGTTTGCTGTGTGTCGACAATCGGTGCGACCCACAACCCATTGTGAGAACCTTTGAGAATGCATGTGTGTTTGCTGTGTGTCGACAATCGGTGCGACCCACAACCCATTGTGAGAACCTTTGAGAATGCATGTGTGTTTGCTGTGTGTCGACAATCAGTGCGACCCACAACCCATTGTGAGAACCTTTGAGAATGCATGTGTGTTTGCTGTGTGTCGACAATCAGTGCGACCCACAACCCATTGTGAGAACCTTTGAGAATGCATGTGTGTTTGCTGTGTGTCGACAATCGGTGCGACCCACAACCCATTGTGAGAACCTTTGAGAATGCATGTGTGTTTGCTGTGTGTCGACAATCAGTGCGACCCACAACCCATTGTGAGAACCTTTGAGAATGCATGTGTGTTTGCTGTGTGTCGACAATCGGTGCGACCCACAACCCATTGTGAGAACCTTTGAGAATGCATGTGTGTTTGCTGTGTGTCGACAATCGGTGCGACCCACAAACCCATTGTGAGAACCTTTGAGAATGCATGTGTGTTTGCTGTGTGTCGACAATCGGTGCGACCCACAACCCATTGTGAGAACCTTTGAGAATGCATGTGTGTTTGCTGTGTGTCGACAATCGGTGCGACCCACAACCCATTGTGAGAACCTTTGAGAATGCATGTGTGTTTGCTGTGTGTCGACAATCGGTGCGACCCACAACCCATTGTGAGAACCTTTGAGAATGCATGTGTGTTTGCTGTGTGTCGACAATCGGTGCGACCCACAACCCATTGTGAGAACCTTTGAGAATGCATGTCTGTTTGCCAGTATTCCGCCAGTAAATGCTACCTACGGCCCATTGTGAGAATCTTCGAGAATGCATGTGATTGTGTGACAGGGATCGCCACCGGAGCTACTGAGTTCGTGCTGTGTGCGATGCTCTCGGCGGGCAGCTTGCCGTTCTGTGAAGAGAGGCCGAGCCATATGGGATAAAACCAGGTGCGGTGAAGTCGATCCTCTCGACTTTTAAGTTTTTATTCCGAAAATAAATGCGACCTACGGCCCATTGTGAGAACCTTCGAGAATACATGTGTTGGACCTAGAAGATAAAAGCGCCGGCCGTCTCCGAATCTGGGACACAGAGGCGCTGTGACAGCACCCGTCGTTAGAGAACTGCCCAACCTTGGACTAAACCAAGCCGAGAGACCCCGCAGATACCGGCGTGTGCGTCTATCGGCCGGCGGGCCGACATTCCCTGGTGTTTGCTGAGGGCTAGTTGCAGTCGTTGGATCAATGGACGGCGGCGACTGTAACAGTAGGCTCTCCTGTGTTGCACTTGCTAGCAGCGACCTTGCTTTACCAGTGTTTGTTTGCCGTCGCGTATTGCCCGCGCCGATCTATACGGATCACGGCGCAGTGAAAGAAGGGGGGGAAGCTGGTGTCCTCGGCCTGCCGGCAGATATTAGGCGGATCTTTGCAGTTGGGGGATTGTCTTTTGCCGGCACAGGAAAGCAGGTTAACTCGGTGCCTAGTTGGTCAGGCGTCTTAGTACACTTTCGATCGTTCTGTTTTAATTCACCCTATCTCGTGGACTCCGAGATTTCATGGGTAGTTCCCGGGCAAATGCAGTGGTTTATAGTAGGAGTGTTAGGGTGTGACATGAACACCGACTAACACTAACTCTACCCCCATGATATTGGACTTTCCCGGAAACTCCCCACGAAATCTCGGAGTCCCCTGAGATGGGGTTGAACCAAATTAAAATTACCCTAGTTTTTGCAGCGGGGTACTGTAGTCATAATAAAATTTGTACTTTTTAACAATCTGGGTTTTTTATTTTTTTGCCTGTGTATTGCTTGGATTTTTTGTTCAGCTTAGCTGGGCTTCTTCTTTTCTTTTCTTTTTTTATCTTTATTTCCCTTTCTGATTTTTGTTCCCCCCCAGTGGGCCCCCCCCCCCCCCCCCCCCCAAAAAAAAAAAAAAATACCATTTGGTTGTCTAGCAAGGCTGTTCAGTTGGCGGCGCTAAGACCACATCTCATCGCAGATTTTGTCGGTGGAACATAAGAAGTTTATGCGTTCCCCTGTTCTAGACGTTCATCATATCTAGTGCCTTGCTCTCTGTGTGCGTTGTTGTTTTTTTTTTGGGGGGGGTGGGGGGGTGGCTGAGTATGTCTATCCATATTTCTGTGCGCATATTCCGTGTAAGCCCTTCTAGTTATATTCTCAAATGTTCTTAGCCTGTGCCTATCCAGCGTCAGCGTGTTTTGTTCATCTCTTAATTCACTGAAGTTTAATCTCTTTCCGAAATCTCCACATTTCTGGTTTTGGGGGAGGGGGGGAGATGATTTCGGGACTAGACTGGTTACATAACTTTCTTGTGTCACTTGCTAAATCATATATCAATAAATAAATGTTGGAGCATCATAACAGTTAGATAAAATATTACCGGCGCTCCTCCCGATTACGGTCCCAAATTATCGAGGTCAAAAACATACCCTAACAGGGCCTCAATGATATGTTACATGAGGATGTATTTCTGGCAAATATGGCAGGCAGGCCATCAGCTTCGACACAAATTAGCAATAATATTCTAGCGATTGATGTTACTTTCACGGTTGGACTGTTGTGGCAGATTCTTGTGGCGGTGTTAAGAGTTAGGCTTAACCCAAACAAGTGAAGAGTTATGGATGCAACTCAGACGGAAGCAACTGTTGAGGCCCTGTAAGGGTGTGTTTTTGACCTCTGTAATTCGGGACCGTTATACGGAGGAGTGTCAATATACTTCTGCACTCGACCCTAAAAGTTTGCATCTAGGCTGCGAAATCGGCCACATTCGCATGCACATCGTGCCAGTCGGCTTTTTAAGATCTAACAGACGTATAACAGTAACCAGTCTAGTTTGTTAGATACCAGCGGCTCAGCAGACACCATACATATTCACACACACACGGCATTAAAACGACTTCAGTCAACTCCTTCTGTGTCATTGTCATGCTGTTTGGCATATCCTTCCATGTCGGTATCCAGATTCCCCGCCCGTGAGGCGGCCGACACTGGGCAGATATGGCGAACTGGGTCACGCTCGCGCTACTTCAGTCGCGTACACGTCATTGAGGGCCGTAGCCCAGGGCTGCCGAAATATTTTGGGGGAATAGTACCAAATTGAAATTGAAAAGGTACCAAAAGAGAGGAAATGGTATCACATTTTTACATGCGAATAAAAACACCACGAAAAGGTCTCTGAGCACATGCACATACGTGCATTACATACACAACTGACTGGCTTTATATTTGATCAGAATTAAAATTCTTTGTTAACCTGTGATAACCCTTCCTAGGATTGCCTTCCTGTGATTGCCTACCTATAATTACCTTTCCTGTGATTTCTTTCCTATGATTACCTTTCTTGTGATTGTCTTACCTATGCTTGCCTTTCCAGTGATCCTGGCTCCCTTTGGTCTGTGTGGGACGCTGACAGGTGTGACCTACCCCGATAATGACCACAGCTCCAGCACAGCCAGGATGTTTGCAGAGTGGGCCAACTACTACCCCATCAAAGAGACCAGCAGAGAGGAATCTTGTGGCGGTGCCAAGGTGCCCAATATGGTGGAAGTCATTGTGGGTCAGTTGTTTTTTATTTTGTTTATTTTTGTGTTTACTGTTTCGTCTTATAACTATAAAATAAAGATTGTACAGTCCCATTAGTGTGCCTATCAAACAGGACCATAAACACCTAAGCACATTTTGCAGACTTGTCCACTCAACCTACAAATTGGGGGAAAAACCCTACCTCAAGAGCAAAGTGTGCAGAGCAAGCTATGGGAAAACCTTCAAGGACCTGCTGCTGACATGCTTGTTCATAGAGGCAACCCACCTAAACCTGGCTAGACCTATATTTTATAGACCAATCAGCACTTGGTAAGTAATGTGATCGGCATCATGTCAGCCGCCTTTACTTCCCAGACTGTAACTAGTACCACCAATTCAATACTGAGTTGACCTGGGAGCCAAGGTCATTTTGGGAAGAAGAAAAAATCTGGCTCTTTCAGGACTTGAACTCACAACTTTCCCATCTGCAGGCAAGCATCTCGCTGCTACACCACGGCAGCTCCCTCTTAAAAACAAAATCAAAATTTAGATGCATATCCTTTGCAGGATGTTGCAGAACCAACCACAGCATTTTTGTGTGGCTGTTCGCGATTTCACTATGCAATTTTACATTTACTAGTTTGCCATAGCTGTCTGAATGGTCGGGGTTCGATACCCCTGTCAAAACCAACAAAGGTGGTCTCCTGCGAATCTCCTGCAGCTGGGAACGAACCTAGCACCTTGACATTACGAAGCGATTTTGCAATACTGGAGCCAATGGCGCCTGCTATCCCTTAACAGAATGTCATTAAAGGTGACTATGGAAGGTTTTGCGGAAATTGGATTTGTTGGGCCAAAAGGCTTAGCGCTATCATAGCCTGCCTGTAAACAACAACGTAATGTGCCAACCGCCCTCTTAAGGTTGATTGCAGAAGAAGAATTACCAGGCTCAAATACTAGCTTTCCGGCCTCTAAGAAATGTAGTGGAATTCTTTTATTTATTATTTTTTTTTCAGGTGGTACACATATGAAGTACCCTACCTGCTATGTCCTGGTTTGTGATAATGAAGATCTTAATGGCAGCAACAGTGTACTGCAGCCACTCCAACCTCCAGCACACGCAACTCCACACGGCAGGCCCTTGACCCGCTCTGTCTCACAGTTCTCTCCACCTGCCTCACCGTGTGAGGCTGGGTTTGGGTTGGAGCAGCATGGTATCAAGATTTCTCCAATGGTAGGGTCAGTCCAGGGCCAGCCAGACACCATGCCCAGCATCAGCACTTCCAAAGTTGAGGTGCTGGGCTACCAGTTGGCAGAGAAGGTTCGCCAGGATGCTTGCATACATGTGGCTTCAAACAAAAGGTTGGTGTCTTTGTTGCCTGTGTTTAGTTTTCTCCCCCAGTCATCCAAAGATATCAGTGCATTGGGCCTGGTTACAACATGGGGTGCTTTATTATTTTCCTACCTCAAAAAAGGGAAATCCACAGGTCACGGGACAGTCTAATATTTCAGGGGGTGATAGATAGGCTGCATGCATTTGTGGGACTTATGTGGGTTGGGATTAGGGCCAGTTCTAGATGTTTTTGGGTCGTTAAAAGCATCAGAAAGTCGGGAAACCTAGTCTTACCACCCTCTAAAATGTTGGACTGTACTGTGATGCATCTGAGGGAGGATATTAATAAAGAACCCAGCATGGCTGTGATATTTGCTTGTTTCGGCCAACCGTTCAAAATTTGGCATGCATTTGTTACCAAGATTAGCCTTCCGTGCTCATTTTGCGGGACACTGGTCTCGTAGCTGTGTGTTCATATTTGGTTCCTAGTTCACATATGGATCTCATCAGGCCGGTCCAGAGCACCCACCTGATGCTGATCAGCCCTCAACAGAAGACAGGCAGAAAATGAGCATTGGTCACTATCTAAAGAAGATTCCATAAATACAGAGCCAATACATGCTACTCTGGTACTAAGCTCACTCACGAAATCGTCGCATCTCGCTTTTGACTGTTTAACATTACCTCCATTTGTTAAGTGTCTACTTTATTACAGGCTGGCTGTCTTTAAAGGCAGCCGCCTTTCCTAGGATTTGTTTTACCCAAACAAAATGTGTAGTTTGCTTCTTTGACATGTAAGACTTTAATTGCAGCAGAGTTCCATATTTGTTGCTTAAGTAGTCCAGAAAGATTGTGTGCATGTGTTCGGAGGATATATCGTATTATTGAAAATAATTTGTGTTTATAGGTAGATTAGTGTGCATTTATTGTAATTTAAATGTCAGTCCTCTCCGTCTGTGTTTCTGGGTCCTATTTTGGGGAGAGGAAAAAAAAAAGATCCACTAACAAGCATGTTTCTAGGACAGTAGTTCTCAACCGCCCTAAAGCCGCCACCCTTTAAAACAGTTCCTCGTATTGTAGCGACTCTTTAATACAAATCCTCATGTTGCGGCGACCCTTTAATACAGTTCTTCTTGTTGTGGTGACCCCATCCATACAGTTATTTTCGTTGCTACTTCATAACTTTAGTCAATATGTGTTTTCAGATGGTCTTTAGTGATGTTTATGTTAACATATTTTATATTATGTGATATTTATGTTTGCCATGTTCAGTTTTTAATTATGTTTGTGTTTAAATTATTCTATATTACGTGATATTTATGTTTGCCATGTTCAGTTTTTAATTATGTTTATGTTTAAATTATTCTATATTTAGTTATGTTTATGTTTTGATTGTTCTATATTTAGTGATGTTTATGTTTGCCATGTTCAGTTTTTAATTATGTTTATGTTTAAATTGTTCTATATTTAGTGATGTTTACGTTTGCCATGTTCAGTTTTTAATTATGTTTGTTTAAATTATTCTATATTTAGTGATGTTTATGTTTTGATTGTTCTATATTTAGTGATGTTTATGTTTGCCATGTTCAGTTTTTAATTATGTTTATGTTTAAATTATTCTATATTACGTGATATTTACGTTTGCCATGTTCAGTTTTTAATTATGTTTATGTTTAAATTATTCTATATTTAGTGGTGTTTATGTTTTCATTGTTCTATATTTAGTGATGTTTATGTTTGCCATGTTCAGTTTTTAATTATGTTTAAATTGTTCTATATTTAGTGATGTTTATGTTTGCCATGTTCAGTTTTTAATTATGTTTATGTTTAAATTATTCCATATTTAGTGATGTTTATGTTTTCATTGTTCTATATTTAGTGATGTTTCTTTACTGTGTTGTTAGATGTTTTTGTGAAGTTTATGTTCATAGTGCTCTATATTTAGTTATTTTTATGTTTGCAGTGTTCAGTGTTTTAAAATGTTCAGAATTACAATGTTCATGTTTAATGATGTTTGTTTACTGTGTTTTTAGATGTTTTAGTGATGTTTATGATGTTTTATGGCATGCCAGATGTTTTTATAATGTTTTACATTTGCCAGATTGTCAGATGTGACCGCTAGCAGTGAGGAGCAGCACCAGCAGCCCTCTTCGGTGGGTGCCTGGAACTTCACAGACCCTGTCAGCAAGGTCACCTGCAACTGCGTCAGGTGAGAACTTCCTTACACCTGGCTCCAGGGGCTCCCAAATGGTTTCACAAGACCCTGTTTCCAGAATCAGTGTAGTGGCGACTGTGTGTGGTTAAGTTAGGCCTGTTGAGCAAGAATGGGGATCCGTTTTTGTTTTCTGCCATTTTATTTGTAACATAGTGTTTTGGCGGCTGTGTATGGTTAAGTTAGGGCTGTTGAGAGCAAGGGTGGGGACCCCTTTTTGTTTTCTGCAATTTTATTTGTAACAGTCAGTGGCCATGCAGAGTTATCTTCTTCATTTATTTAGTTATCAACGGACAGTTTGAGTGCTGGAGGTCCCGAGTAAAGGCTGGGATTCTTTCATGTGGACTTCTAGTAATTTCCCCTGGTCTCTGGGTAGTAAGATTGAACACCCGTGTGTATTCTTGCGCACCTGAAAAATCGTTTTGCAGTTGGAAATTGAAAGAGTAACCTAATGGCGCTAATACCATGATACCAGGTATTCCTTTTAAAAAGACTTGAAAAGACAATTTTACAAGTACTGACATCACACCTAGCTGTAAACTACAACACTTTTTCCCTTTTTTTCTCTCCCTTTTTTTTTTCATTTCCTTTTTCATGATATATTTTGTAACTGTATTACCAGTGTGATGTCCTAGATGTGATGCGAGAACTCAGCCAATAACATTAGCCATGTATTTTGTAAACACGTCACTGTAGACTAGTCGAAAAGTGAAATTTGTGGAGGCATTGGACCCGACTGATAGTTAATACTGATCATTTCTGATACAGATGTTCTTCTGTGCCAAGATACCAGACTGTCCATAATCCTCATTTTATCTTCTTCTGCTTTTCTTTCCTTCCACTTTTCTGTTTGTCAGTGTACCCCAGTTTTACCTTCCTCGTGATATACCCAGTGAGTGTGGAATTGTCTATTGTGGTGCAGATAATTAGTTTTTGTTGTGAGTAAACTCCCTCCACAGCATCTTCTTTGCTCTTTTATCTGTCTGTGATGTTTATATTATTCTTCTGCTTAAAAAAGAAAAAACAGCTGCCACAGAATTTCACACCAATGTGCTAATATCCATGATTGACATCCTGTTTGACAGTCATTATACTTAAACTTCTCTCTCTCTCTCTCTCTCTCTCTCTCTCTCTCTCTCTCTCTCTCTCTCTCTCTCTCTCTCTCTCTCTCTCTCTCTCTCTCTCTCTCTCTCTCTCTCTCTCTCTCTCTCTCTCTCTCTCTCTCTCTCTCTCTCTCTCTCTCTCTCTCTCTCTCTCTCTCTCTCTCTCTCTCTCTTTCTCCTCATTTGACAGATCGCATACATGCCTTCGTTCTGTGATGTGCTGCCTTTCCTTTATCATACTGTGTTTTCATTTTGGAGTACATACAATATAATTCTTTGAAAGAAGCCCCTCTTCCCCACACTCCCCACCCCCAATTAATGGATTCTTGTTTTCTGCATAATGGGCCCCGTAACCCACAGAGGTTACAAAAGGTCAATGTTTTTCAGAAATATTCTGGGACGGAATGGGCTCAAGAACTTAGTAGTGGTAGGATTGATGGAAAAAAAGCAAAGGCATTAGGCAAACCCGTGGGGGGGGGGGGGGGAACCACTTATCTGAGCCATGAATCTGGCAATAGTTTGAAATAGCAAAATATGGCAGCTTATGTTTTTAGGTAAGGCACATGATGATGATAAGTTATGCTTTTAGGTAAGGCACATGATGATGATAAGATCCAGTGAAATATATCAGCCTATATAATTTGTGCAGTCAGTTTTTTCCCCATGTTATTTCAACTGCATCATGCATTTGTGTGTGTTTATATAATGAATATCTTTTGCTGTCCACTCACATATTTTTTCATCTGCCTCTCTCTTCAGGCACAGAAAGAAAACTCAGGGAAAGAATGCTGTTGGCGGCAAACACGGAAAAGGGGACAAGTTTGAAAAATTAGATCGACAGTTAAGTCGCTTGAGCCGTAACTCTGTGCCATTTCACCGGCGGGGCCCACAGGTGGACGATATGCTTCAGTTTGATGTGGACCCCATGATGAGCCAGCAGTCTATTCAGCAGCAGCCCAATCCCGCGTTCTGCCCTACAGGTGGCACCACCGTCAACAGCTCTGCAATACCACAGGGCAGGAGTAGCACGCCCTTGCATGAGAATGTCGTGTCCATGGACACTCCAAACTCGGCCCCGTCCCCTCTAGACGAACCTCAACCTTTACCCTCCTCCAGTATGGATCCCACCATGCCGACGCTAAGCCCACACCCGCCTAGTAAGTTCACACAGGACGTCAACGGAGGGCGGAGCGGAGGCGGGGTTATTGCTGGGGCAGCTGGGTGCAGTGCAGCCAGTGATTTGACCCATATAGCAGCAGCAGCAACGGTAACTGACGGGACTAGTTTTGTTCCGGCAGGTGGTGGCGGAGGCGGCGGCAGCAGTGTTAACTGCGACACAAACTTGAACTTACTCGTTGGCAGCGGTAATAGTGCACCTGTGACATTGACAGGTAGTAGTAGTAGTAATAACAATGTATTAAACAACGGTGTTGCTCACTCCGCCACCGGTGTTATCACCTGTCTGGTGGATAAAGCAGTAGAGGACACGAACCTTCCAGCAGCTATCAAACCTAGTGCCTCTGCTCCGTCATCTGACCCACATCCGCAGCAGCAGTTTTCCTGGAGCCTGGTGACCTCCAAGTCGGAGAGCGTCAGTCACTGGGTCAATTCCCACCAGCAGAGACCCACATATGACAGACAGCATGAGCGTATGTTTGACATTAATTTGAAGAGGCCTAGTTTACCAACAAAAGGTTCGGATAGTGATTCTGAGCAAGGAGTGGATTCTCTCTATGACTTTGAAGCTCTGAACATGTGGTGAGTGCCCTTATTTAGGATAATATTTATTTTAATTCTTATTTTCCTCCCCCGTCCTCTGCTTTTCTTTCTCCTTATCTTCCTTCTAGAGTTTGAAGGCAACTGAGATGTGGTTCTTAAGAAGAATGTTGTGAATACCTTAAACTGCCAGAATAACTAACAGTGATTGCCTGGAAGTGGCTAATGAAAGTAGAACTTTATATACAACAATGACAACGAGACAAAGTTGTTTGGTCATGTGATAAATATTGTGACGACCGGAAAGACCTCTGGCAGAAGAGGCAGACTAAGAGAAATTATGGTGGATGGCTCAAAACAGGGGCATGGAGGAAAATTGTCAGTGGAATTGATCCAGAACACTAAAGACCAAGATCTGTGGAGATGCATGAACACCTGTGTCAGCTGGCAGGGCACTTGGTGATGATGATGATCTTCCTTTCATTCACCTTATCTGTATGTTTAAATCTGTCTGTGCATATGTGTGTGTATCTATATTTGAAAGCTTGCATTTGCCATCCATGCTTTAGTTGGTCTGTCCGTGTTATATGAATATAATGGGATATATTGATAAAATACAATTACGGTCTGAAAGATGTGTTTAGGGGGGCCCAATGTAAGATGGACCAAAGTGTGTCATCCTGTATCATCCCTTTAGGAACCGCCTCGGTGTAGCTGCTAGATGCTCACCTGCGGATCGGAAGGTCGTGGGTTCGCCAGTCTTTTTTGTGTGTGTTCTTCTTTAAATGATCTTGGCTCACAGCTTGACGATCTGAAGTTCATGGGTTCACCTAACAGAAACATACTTTTTTTTTCAGAAATGTTCTAGCCTCTGAGGTTGGCCCAGCCTTGATTGGGTGCTAGGTAAAGTCCTGGGAAGTAGAGGCGGCCGGGGAGATGTTGCAGAACATCACCCGCCAACTGCCAGTTGCTCTGTAAAATAGAGTTCTAGCACTAAATGCCCAATAGGTCTGAACGCGTGGAAACAAGTCCTGTATTTACTTTCTGTAACAGCCCGCCTTCCCGCGGCAAAGTGTGTCATGATGCACACAAGGGAGATCACTATGGTTTGTTTCATTTACTCGTCTTCACTGAACTCTACCATTACTTGTATGAATTTGATTAAGCAAAAATGTAAAATTGATTTGCGAGATGATGAATTTGACTTTTTAGTCCCGTGTGTCTGTCTTGCCCTTACTTTGGATGTTGTCAGAGGTGTAGGGTCACTCATTCACCCCTTTTGTTTCAGCCTATACCACATATAGTTTGGTATGCATTAGTTTTCTCCCAAAGGGTACAGAACCAGTGTGTTCATTATTGTAATCAGAGTACTGTTGATATATGGAAGTTGTGTTTATAAACAGTGTACTGTTGATATAAGGGAGCTGTGATTATAATCAGAGTACTGTTGACATATGAGAGCTGTGTTTATAAACACTGTACTGTTGATACATGGGAGCTGTGATTATAAACAGAGTACTGTTGATATTTGGCAGCTGTGGTTATAATCAGAGTACTGTTGATATATGGTAGCTGTTTTTTTTTTTTTTTAGAGTTTTAGGTTTTGACCATGGATCAACATTATGGCACAAGGATAGTAATGTAGAAGTGCTCCATTCTCCTTCCTACTCAAGCCTGAGTCTGAAGAATCTCAGAGCAGTGCACGAACTCCGTAGCACCGGCGAGGATCCTGAAATACTTTGGGTAGATTTGCCAAGGGATTTTGTACGTGCACAACAATACACATGGGTATCCAGTCTTTCTACCACTTGACCAGGGAAAATTACTAGAAGTCCACGTGAAATAAAAAAAATCCTAGCCTTTCATGAGGCTTGAACCAGGTACCTCCAGCACTCGAGGCGGACGTCATGCCTCAAGACCATGCAGCCCTTTAAGAGGTTATAGAGTAATATACATATTTGGCAGCTGTGATTATAATCAGAGTACTATTTTTGTGTGTGAGCTGTGATTGTAATCAGAGTACTATTTTTGTGTGGGAGCTGTGATTATAATCAGAGTGCTATATACGTATGTAAAAGATATAAAACCGAACGAAAAGTATATTAGCAAGCTTCACAGTGTAACAAATGCAAACAAAAAGTGAACGTTGCGGCTATGGAGCCTTCATCAGCACATACAAATCAAACAATACTAAACAGATTCACAAAATCACTTAGCTGGTATCTTGAAGTAGCCACGTCGGTGGTTACTCAGCAGAATGCCTACACATGTTGGCTGGGGGAATACATACCCCCCATATACGTATGGGAGCTGTGCTTATAATCAGAGTATTCATACATATGGGATCTGTAGTTATAATCAGAGTACTATTCATATATAATTGTGGCTTAAGGGTTGAGAATGCACCCTGTAGTGCCGGGTTCAATCCCAGTTACAATTTGCTTAAAAAACCACAAGAGCCAAAAATGATGGGGTTGGTTCTGCAACGTACTGTAAGGGATACGCAAATAACTATTCATGTATGGGAGTTGTGATTGTAATCAGAGTGCTGTACATATATAGGAGTGGTGTAGATTATAAACATTAGAGTGCTGTACATATATAGGAGTTGTGTAGATAATAAATACCAGAGCGCTGTAAATATATGGTAATTGTGTAGATTATAAACATGAGTACTGTACTTATATGGTAGTTGTGTAGATTTTAAATATTAGAATACTGTACATATATGATAGTTGTGTAGATTATAAACACAAGAGTACATATAGAGAAGTTGTGTAGATATTCTTCTTCTCCATTTCCACTGAAAGTTTTGGTTGCTTGACCGCCTCTGGACTTTAAAGACTTTTTCCAGAACCTTAGTGTAGCATAAACATCTGATTTACAGATCTGACTTTTTTTTATGCAGCTATTGGTTCCTTGCCTATCAGTCAGAGCACTCCAACTTTGAAGGGAAACTCCAGTTAGTCAACTTTGGCTCTCCTGTCAAATCCGGACGAAGAATAAAAAGCCTTGGACGACTTAGTCAGAGTTCTCTCCCGTGGCCGCACTGCGAACAGTGATCGGAAAACAAACGAAACAAACGACACACTTAGCTATCATCCTGCGGTTGCGTGTAGGGTTGCGTACGGTTGCGTGAGGCAGTGTGAATGGTTGTGTAGTCATCATCATGCGGTTGTTGGATTAGAGTTAGGGGTAGGGGTAGGGTTAGGATTAGATGTAAAAATTTTGACGTAGGATTTCGAAATACTGGCCGACAATCAGATGTTTGTGGGAGTGGCGCCACTGAAACTGCCAAATATGACGCCAATAGCGTGCGGCTGGTGCCCCCTATCGTTGGCGAATTGTGCGTTTGATTAGCATCCAGAGGCCCTCGATTGTTTGTGTGTGTATGGGACTGTGCGCGATTATAGGGAACTCCGGCGTCAAAATTGTCAAATATAACGCTAAACTCAACCCTACCGCTTACCCTAATCCTAATCCTACTCCCTAGCCCTAACCCCTACCCCTAACCACGCAAATTTATCGATCATTAAAGCATACAAATCGGCAAAAACCAAACAAACAAAACACACCCCAAAAAAAACCAGATTTGTCCTGCAGCGTCGAAAAAAAAACCCCAGATCTGGGGGAAACAACCAAGCATTGGCAGCCCTGATGTCGACGTCACTGTCTTCTTTGTTTCGTTGTGGCTTTTCCGATCACTGTTTGGAGTGCGGCCACGGGAGAGAACTCTGACTAAGTCGTCCAAGGCTTTTTAGTCTTCGTCCTGATTTGACAGGAGTACCGTCAACTCTTACGACATACTTGTTGGGGAGGAAGATTGTGTGTTCTTGTTTTCCCCACAATGGGGCCCCAGAACCCCCACAGAGAGGGTAGATCATAAATACAAGAGAACCTGTATGGAAGTTGTGAGGATTATAAACACAAGAGTACATATATGGAAGGTGTGAAGATTATAAACACAAAAGTACATATATAGAAGTTGTGAGGATTATAAACACAATAGTACATATATTTAAGTTGTGAAGATTATAAACACAATAGTACATATATTTAAGTTGTGAAGATTATAAACACAATAGTACATATATGGAAGTTGTGAAGATTATAAACACAAGAGTACATGTATTGAAGTTGTGAGGATTATAAACACAAGAGTACATATATGGGAGTTGTGAAGATTATAAATGCAAGAGTACATATATTTAAGTTGTGAAGATTATCAACACAATAGTACATATATTTAAGTTGTGAAGATTTTAAACACAATAGTACATGTATGGAAGTTGTGAAGATTATAAATGCAAGAGTACATGTATAGAAGTTGTGAAGATTATAAACACAAGAGTACATGTATGGAAGTTGTGAAGATTATAAACGCAAGAGTACATATATGGAAGTTGTGAAGATTTTAAACACAAGAGTACACATATGGAAGTTGTGTAGATTGTAAAAAAATATAAAGTCGTGAGCCAGAAGATTAGCCAAGTGAGCTACTGTAGGGCAAAGGCCAGACACTTGACAGTTTAAGTCGACATTGATGCTGATTTTTTTAATTATTAACCTCGGCTACTAGTCATCTCAGCATAAAATGGGCACCAGCAAATATTGTGGGAAGGCTGTTGACCATCCTTGCACCATATGCTTTATTCACCACTGTTGTGAAGAGTGCTTTCATCACCAGGACCAGAGCTATCAACTGAGTTTACCCAGCGACCAATATATTGAAACTGAGAGTCGTCGCTGTCCTAAATCTTGTCTCGGTCTTCCTCTGCCTCTCCTCCAAACTTACCTACTGTCATGATGTACTACAGTTTTTCTCTTTCTTATTACATACCCAAAGAATGTCGATTGTCTCTTTCTGATGTGGGCAATCAGTTCTCTTAGTGAGTCAGTTTCTTTGAAGACGTCTTCATTGCTTCCCCCCCCCCCCCCCCCCCCCTGTTATTTGAAGAATGAAATTCCAGCTGTGGGTGTGTAATGTTAAGTGATTGGGAAAAATGAATTATCATTTGTGGAAGTGCTGGATATGCTGACATCTGTCATCGTTTAGATGTGCGATGTTAAGTGATTAGGAAAAATGAAGTATCATTTGTGGAAGTGCTGGATATGCTGACATCTGTCATCATTTAGATGTGCGATGTTAAGTGATTAGGAAAAATGAAGTATCATTTGTGGAAGTGCTGGATATGCTGACATCTGTCATCGTTTAGATGTGCGATGTTGAGTGATTAGGAAAAATGAAGTATCATTTGTGGAAGTGCTGGATATGCTGACATCTGTCATCGTCTAGATGTGCGATGTTGAGTGATTAGGAAAAATGAATTATCATTTGTGGAAGTGCTGGATATGCTGACATCTGTCATCGTTTAGATGTGCGATGTTGAGTGATTAGGAAAAAGGAAGTATCATTTGTGGAAGTGCTGGATATGCTGACATCTGTCATCGTTTAGATGTGCGATGTTGAGTGATTAGGAAAAATGAATTATCATTTGTGGAAGTGCTGGATATGCTGACATCTGTCATCGTTTAGATGTGCGATGTTGAGTGATTAGGAAAAATGAATTATCATTTGTGGAAGTGCTGGATATGCTGACATATGTCATCATGAGATGTGCGATGTTAAGTGATTAGGAAAAATGAAGTATCATTTGTGGAAGTGCTGGATATGCTGACATCTGTCATCGTTTAGATGTGCGATGTTAAGTGATTAGGAAAAATGAAGTATCATTTGTGGAAGTGCTGGATATGCTGACATCTGTCATCATTTAGATGTGCGATGTTGAGTGATTAGGAAAAATGAATTAATCATTTGTGGAAGTGCTGGATATGCTGACATCTGTCATCATTTAAATGTGCGATGTTGAATGATTAGGAAAAATGAACTATCATTTGTGGAAGTGCTGGATATGCTGACATCTGTCATCATTTAGATTTGCGATGTTGAGGGATTAGGAAAAATTTAGCATCATTTGTGTAAGTGTGAATATGCTGACATCTGTCATTTTTTAGGTGTGTTTCAAATACTCTGCAAAACTCCGGCTGAAAGTCCATTTTGTTCGTCCACTTTTGAACTCAGGACTTTTTAGTTTTGCCTGCACAGTCATTTTGCAAGTCTGGCATATTCATGTGCAAACTTTTGATTCCTCGCCTCTCAGGCAGATGCACCCCGACTTTTAAGGATATGTTGATCCTGTCTGCTTTGACCAGGCTCCCAGTGTGGGACCTGTTTCTGGTAGGATTCCCACAGAGATGTGTAGACAGGTCTTACTGGTGCACCACATATGGTTAAGCTTCCGCATCTGCGAGGTTTGTTTAACATCAGTGGGAGATGTAGAGACATTAATGATGAAAGTATGTGATTAACTGTTTCTGCAATGTTGGCAAGTGATATAACCTTTATAGGAGCACTTTACAAATAGTATATACAGTGTAGATTGTTTAAGGTGTTCATAGATGTGGCAAATTTCTGCTGTAAAGAAAAAATTTTTGCTTGAATTCTCATCTAGATAAGAGGAATTTCTGATAAGTAGAACATTTTTGGGGGGATCCCAAGTCAGTTCTCCTTATCACGTCTAGGCCTGCACTTTTTTAAGTTTGTTTCTTTTTTCTCTCTTTTTATAACAGGATTGATATGCCCCTAAAGAAAGGTCGCTTTGAGCCTCTAGATGAAGGTCTGTCGGAAGACTTGCTGGCTCCCTCGTCAAGTTTTGCCTCGCATTCCCGGCCCTCCATGATGGCAAGTCCCTCCCCTCCTGACCCTGATCCCTACGAGTTCTCGGATGAAGCATCTAAAGATCCAAAAACATTAACAACCCGGTCCAGGCCAAGCAGGGATGATAGCATGGCCAGGCCGTCTCCTTTGGACAGAATGGTAAGATTGTTTTACTTGTTGTGTCAGATAACAGTGTGAGCATTTATTGAAGTTGGTGAGTCAGGTCTTTATTATATATGACTGAGCTGCCGTATAGCAATAGTCGGCACTTCCTGTTCTCTGTTAACTTGCTCGGATAAGAGCAGTTTTGCCTCCTGACTGGTTTGCCTCCTGGCTGGTTTGCCTTCTGGCTGGTTTCCTCCGACTTCAGCACCTTATTTTCCTTATTGTCGTGCGCTGGATCAGCGTACAAGCATACATGACTGAACCACCCACCCTGACATGTGGGTACGCCTGACTTCACCTCAAATTTGAAACTTGGACTGTTTTTCCCCCTAGTTTAACTATTTATTTACTTTCGTTTTTATATCTCCTTTTTAATTTCATTGTATTTTTCTAGCGTTTCATTTAGCCACATTTTTTAGCATTTCATTTGGCCTTATTTTCTATTGTAAAATTTAGCCATATTTTCTAGCATTTTATTAAGCCATATTTTCTAGCATTTCATTTAGCCATATTTATTAACATTTCCTTTAACCATATTTTTCAGCGTTTTATTTGACTAAATTGTCTATATCCCCAACTGGTTTTTCCCTCAGATCTGATGTTGTCCTGTTTCGGCGCGAGTTTGCGGGGCTCCATTTTGTTTTGGGAAAAGAATAGATTCACCCTTCCCTACCAAGCTTTTCGTAAAAGACAACAAATTAAGAGTGTTTCCTTCAAAGTTGGGAGTGTCTCTGCCGCAGAGGCGAGCAACCAGCAGTCTGCTTACAAATAGTCAGAAATAAATAAACAACCAGAACTTTCCACTGGAGTTAACAACCGGTGAACATTAAGAAAAAGAAGAATATTCCATATCCTGTTCTGCTTGTTTATTGGCCAAGAAGTCCTTTACTGTGTATTTTCTAAATCCCTTTTTGCGTGTCTGTTTTGTTTTCTAGGTCCAATACAGTGTGTATGTTTTTGCTAGATGTGCATGTTCATGTTAACTGTATTTCTAATTTCCAAATCTCTGACACTTATCGTTACATGTTTGTTTCCAGGAGGACGACTCGAGACCCTCCTCCAGACAGGGTACCACTGAACTCACTATGAAAGATGAACCACCCAACGGTGAGTCTGCTTAGGGGTTGACACAACACGCTGATTTGCCTTCTCCTGTTCTACCTTGGGTTTAGATGCCATGAACATATTTTTCTATAAAAAGACCATGTGTTTTCCTAGTTTTTTAAATTCTGAAATTTGAGGATTGTCTCATACACAAGATGTTGCAGTTAAATAAATACATGCCACTATGCATACACCCCAGCCTCTCCCCAGTACTGATCTCACGACAGACCCTGAACTGGGACTCCCCATCCCCAGCCACCCCCCCACCCCCCCCCCCCCCCCCCCCCACCCCACTCTGGATGTTGTCCCTTCTGCCTGTTTCCTCAGCCGCACCTCACCATGCACATACAACAACAAAACTTGTTGTTGTTAATTTTTCTTTCCTTGAGGACTTTGACTGAATCAATAATTGCTTGCTGCTTTGCACTGAAGTTTGTTGAGAGTCTTCTACTGTGGTCCCATCTTGCAGCATGATGACAATCCAGCTCCTCCGGTTTGTTTGTTTGTTTGTTTTTTTTTTTTTTTTTTTTTAATTTTTTTTTTTTTTTTTAGCTATCATGTATACAGAAAATGTGGTAAACTGCAATTTAAAAACAACAAATGTTTTATGCACAATGTTTTCTAATTTTATCCTGCCCCAAGTGAGTTGACCCCAGTCTTGATGATGTTTCAGATTTAGGGCAGCTGTCTTCACCTCTGACCCCAGGTGGCAGTTTGACCCGGGAACAGGACATTCGAGTGACGGGCACATATCAAGACCTACATAAAATCTTTCAGTCCGACTCCTCAGAGGACGATGAGGATGGTGGGGTAAGTCAGTTTGGTGACGTAGATTGGATGGGTGGGGAGGGCGGATCTGTCAGGAAGATAAAAATTGTTGTCTTGGGGGAGAAGAGCGAGCCATAGGCTCTTCTTTTGTGAAAATATTGCCAGTCTTTTTTCTTCTTCTCAACGACTTCTTCTTCTTTCTCTACTTCTGAAATGCCTCACAGCCTCAGGGCAGAAAGAGATCCTGGGAATGGACCCTTCTGTTCACTTTTTATTAAGTACTTTTCAGTTGTCTCTGATATTTCTTGTCAACCTCAGGCTCTGTTATCGTTATATCAGTATATCATTGCTTTCTATGGTACCCTATCCGCTGCCAGTCTTGTTACATGGCCAAACCATTTGATCTGTTGTCCACCGACAAAATTCAATATTGATTCTGTGCCAACTCTCCTCCTGATATCATTATGCCTAAGTCTTCTACGAAATCATCCTTGTAAAGTCTGGTTGGCATGCTCTGTTGTGGTTTACAGCAAGGCTCCGGTATATGTGCCTCTTATGCCAAGACATCTGATTCCAGCAAACTCGAATCTGTCGTCTTCTACAACATGCTTCTTGAACCCATAGGGATCGTTACTTTTTTCTTTTTCAGAATGGATAGATTTCAAATTGTTGTTCGTTTTTGGCAGTGATGAAATGTCGCAAGCTATTTGAGTTTGGGCACGTGGTGAGACATGATTTAGTTACAAAGACTGTGCTTCAAAAAATAATAGGGGAGGGGGGTCCACAGAAAAAAGGGGCAAAGAAGAAGAACCTGGGATGACAACATCAAGCTATTGCTGAATTACTATACACTTGTTCAACAAGCTGAAGACAAAAAGATGGCAGGTTTTGTGTACTAATGCTTCCATCAATACACCTCCATGACCTTATTGGGCCAAAGGTTATGTCATATCATGTCAAGTTTATGTAAAAGCACCATGCAGCAAATTCATTGAGAAACAGAAAATCAGATGGTTTGGTCCTCTAGTAAGAATGCAGCCAGAACAACTACCAACGCAGGTGCTACATCTGAAAAGATCTGATGTGAAAGCAAGAGGTCACCCTTGGAGAAGATGCATTGATGACATTAAAGAGCTTCTGCATCGACACGGAATGACAGTAACCATTGCTGCCCATCTAGCAGTGGATCGCAAACTGCTCTTCCCCATGATGCTTAACACCAGAAGTGATATAAAGTTTGAAATTTTGTTGTGTTTACATAATAATGTTACCCAGTGGTGTTGTGTGACTTACCTCAGGCTGTCGACTCTGGCCTCGGAAGCAAATCAACAGATGATCTCAAACCTATCAGGATGCAGAATGGCTCCCTTGGCAGTATAGGTAAGTTGAGACCATCTACCCGTCTTACTTGGAAGTACTGTTGAACTCTCTTCAAGATGTGCCATACACTTGTTTAGACAGTAGTTAAGCGTATTTGATGAGTGACCACAACACTCAGATCTAATAATAATCCTTAGGAGAAAGGCAAAGATAATGAGAATAAATTAGGCAATTAGCAGTCTGGTTTCTCTTGGGGATATCACCACTCCAAGATGTAGCGTCATGTACCTATTGAAGCAGTAATGTATATGATCATGGGACAACTGATAGAGATGTTAAATCTGAATGCAACAGGGGAGTGTTCATAGCGGTAGGAAATCTAGAAGTTAAAGGAAATCCTTTTTTATATTTTTTTTAGGGTGTCTCACTGCTACCAGGTTGTAGCCCAGTGTCGTGGTTTTCTGTATTTGTTTTGGGTGGCTTGGGTGATGGATTTGTTCATCCTTTTGCAGGTTTCACTTCACCATTTATCCATCTCTTTCTTTGTCTGCCTCTCACCTTCCTCCCAGATGTTCTAGTGTAAAAAGTTGTGAGCGGTTTGGTCTGGCTGCATTCGCACTAGATGGCTGAACCACTTCATTCTTTGTTTTTCAGTATAATCCAGACATAGTCTTATTCCAACTTTTTCTCCAGTGCTGGTGTTAAAGGAAATTAAAACTTGTAGAACGTAAAATTATTAGATACAAAGTCAAATCAGCACTGACTGGACACACTGAGCTAGTGGGTTGGTTTGCTGACAGGGCCACTGTAGGCACAGGAGAAACACTTTACCAGGACAAATGTTCTTTGTGCTCTCAAGGAGTCAGGTTGAGTAGGTGATTTAGGAGGCGACCATGACAAAAGGTAAGACAACTACATGTCAGAAGAGGTCACACATAAACACTATAGATAGTCAAAGAAGAATAGTCAGCCAACACAAATTGTGTTATTGTTTGCCACCAGTTGAGGGAGGTACTGAAGATGGGATCTGAGGACCTATAGTCTTGTGCGAAAAGAATGATCTGTTGATTTAACTAACTTAAAGGGCTGGTTATTGGAGCGGAAACATGGAGATCGACTAAAATAATTACTGGTAAGTGCCTGGACAGAATAGAAGGAACTGAATGTTATGACGGGATAACCAATGTGGATTTTGGTTAATGAATTCCACTGATTTTAGAAAGTAGGGGGATGGTGTTGGGTGTTGGATAGCCCACACACTGAGAAAACCTGATAGCGGTAGAACTTGAATGTCTTCATCTAAAGTGCTGAGAAAAGACTTCTTCTTCATATTCACTGGCTGTAAACTCCAGCGGAAAGTTGTGGTTGTTCGTCCATATCTGGGCTTTGGTCTTGTTTTCTAGAACCTGAGTTCTGTATGCGCATCTGCTTTAAAGATTTGACTTATTGGGAGGCAGACTGTTGGTTCCCTGTCCCTCTGACTTTAAAGGAAACATCCCCAAAACTTTTGCTTGTTAGGGGGCAGTGTGCTTATTGTTTTCCCCTACAGTGGGGCCCCGATACTGACACAGGGAGAGAGAAGACACAAATAAAGTACATTTTATGGAGTGTTTATATCATTTTGATTTATTGCAGCTCCTCTAGACCTTGGTCGGATGTACCCGACACCACCTTCACATGAAACAAACAAGTCTCACTCTCCCGAGACCATGACAGACGGCACCAACGAAGGCATTCTCACCAGCACCTCTATCGTTGCCTTTCACAGCACTGTGGAGGCTACAGTCCCACCCATCGATGTCCCCATCACCAGTGTTAAGGTCAGTGGTGAAGTCAGATTTGTGCATTGTCAACATGTTTGGGGTTCGGTGCTTTATTAATATCTTACCCCAAACAGGGGAAATCCACAGGTCATGTGACAGTTTAATATTTCAAGGGGTGAAGATAGGCTACATGCAGTCGTGGGACCTAGGCTGCACTCTCTCATGGGACGTAGGTGGGTTGGGGTTAGGGCCAGTTCTAGATGTTTTGGGGTCGTTAAAAAGCATCAGGAAGCCAGGAAACCAAGTCTTACCACCCTCTAAAATGTTGGACTGTCCTGTGACGTCATCTGGGGTAGGATATTAATAAAGCACCTGGGGTTCTTCCTTAACCTTATGAATTTCACTCAGGCATTGCTATTCGTCTCGCTGAGGCCTAGCAAGTGGCCCACGGATCATTGCCAGTTTTATTAATGATCTTTCTACTGCTGGGGCTTGGGCCTCTGACCCTGTCTGTCATTTTCTACATTTGGGTTCCTGGGTAAATTTAGTTGAATAGTCTTGTTTTGTATGTGTGTTTTTTTTCTTCTTCTTCTGCTTCTGCTTCTTCTTCTTTTTCACCTTTTAAAGTTCTCTCAAGGATATTCATCTGTTGAACGGATGTGCATGCAGAATTCAGGTTTTGGAACAAGACGTAAAGTCCAGAAACAGAAGAACAGCCAGAACTTTCTGCCAGAGTTTAGTTGGGGAGCATGAAGAAGAAAAGGAAAAGGAAGAAGTAGACAAAGCGGAAAAAAAATAGTCAAATGTAATACCTTTTTTTTTTAACTTCTAGTGTATCTGGCATGTGATGCTTAACTCATAATTGTACATATATTGTACGTAATGACCTTGTTAAATACATTCTGACACATGATGATGGCTTTCCTCGCCTCACTTGTTGCTGTTTTATGTGCGTTTCAGTGTGATGTGTTTATTCCACCTGTGATTGCGGAAGCTGTGGGAGCCGCAAAGTACTCCCCACTGGAGCTACCCAGCGACCGCTCGTCACCACTACCAAATGTGCCCGAGTACAAGCCAAACTGGAGCTTTGCCACGCCCATCATGGACTCGCAGCATTCACACAGAATGTACGCAGATTTGTTTACCATGTCTTCCTTTTGTATGTCATCGTCTCCCCCTGCCCATTATGTCATCATCTCCTTCTTTACATCTTCATCTCCTTTTTTTTTTTACCACAGTCTCCTTTATATCATTTTTTTTTGTCATCTTCTTCTTTATGTCATCATATCTCCCTTTATCATCATCTCCTTTATGTTGCCATCTCTTCCTTTATTATCTTTTTTTGTGTCATCATACCTTCCTTTGTATTTCATTCTCTGTGTCATCATATCTTCCTTTATCATCATCTCCTTTATGTCTTTACCTCCTCCTCTATGTCATATCTTCCTTTGTCATCACCTTATTTATGTCATCATATCTTCCTTTATGTTGTCATCTCATCTTCCTTTATGTTGTCATCTCTTCCTATATCTTTGTCTTCTCCATTATGTCATCATATCCTGCTACCCTTTAATGTTCTCTTTCATGAGATCATTTTCCATGTCATATCCTTATGTCATCATACCTTTTAGCCTCCTCATCATAAACTCAAGAGCATTCACACAGAATGTTCACACCTTTCTAAATTATACACCCTTTAGACTAGAACGACTAGGAGCAGCAGCAGATAATGAAAATCCATGTTGATTTGAACCCAAGGCCTTTGGAACAATGTTCAAGGATCTGGCCACAGTGATGATGCAGATTAATCTATAAAATGTAGGCCTGGCACTATATGCCCAGTAGGCCTGATAGCCTGGAAAGGATCCTTTGACATAGTGTTTTATCTTTGTTCAGGAGTTATGTCAATCTACCCAGTGTGGAGAACATTTCATCCATCCGCACCGTGGGCTCTGGGGCCGGCATCGACGCCAGCCCGGCCATCTACAGCAACAGCCAGCAGCGGACTCCTCTGAGTTTGGAGCTGCACTCTCCCGCATCAAACTCTTCATCCTACCTCAACAAAACCAACAATTCCATCGACAATCATGGCACCAACACTCAGCTACCTGAGGTGAGCATGTTTTTTTTTTGTCCCTCATACATCATCATTGAAACTTTTTGTTGCTTATTATGGCAAAAGAATTTTTGTAAATATCAGTTATTTTCTTTATCCCGGTATGGCAGGTTTCATCTTATATCACCCTGTCGTCTACACGGGGCTAAAGAATACACCTGTTTGTTATAAAGCACACTGAAAATTTGGATTTTTCATGCCATGTCATATGATTGTCGGAAATTTTCTTTCGTTGTCTTTCCCTGTCCGTTCTTGTATGAACCTATTGAGTTGTCTCTATATGCTCCGGTTGTTTCCTCTTCTCACAACCTGATAAAAATGACTGGCTCTTTCATGTGTATGTGATAAGTTGTCTGAGTCTTAACCCCTTTCACATGTAGGTGATAAGTTTGATAACTCTTATCCCCTTTCACGTGTATTTGATAAGTTGACAACTCTTATCCCCTTTCACATGTATATGATAAGTCAAAAGTGTTTATCCACTTTCACAAGTTTGTGATGTTGTCTTCCAGTCTTATTCCCTTTCACATATGTGTGATAAGTTGTCTTTGAATCTTATCCCCTTTTGCATATGTTCGATAAGATGTCTTATTCCCTTTTACGTGTATGTGATAAGTTGTCTTTGAATCGCATCCCCTTTTGCATTATGTGATAAGTTGTCTTTGAATCTTATCCCCTTTTGCATATGTTCGATAAGCTGTCTTATCCCCTTTTACGTGTATGTGATAAGTTGCCTTTGAATCTTATCCCCTTTCACATGTATGTCTTTGTTGTCTTTAAGACTTAGCACCTTTTTCATGTATGTGACAAGTTGTCATTGAGTCTCGTCCATTTTCACATGCCAATCTTATCCACTTTGACATATATGTGATAAGTTGTCTTTGAGTCTTAGCCATACTCATTTCTTTGCATATCAGAAGGCTGATTTCTTTCTTCTGATTTTTTGTTGTTGTTAAATTAGATCTCATTCTAGCTTTTCTTTATATCTTAAGCCATTGAAATCCACAAATTGTGGTTAACCAGTAGCCACGTTTTGGATTTATTGGTGCCTCGTGTAGATGGGGACATGTTTAGGCAAGCACGTAACCCACAAATATTTGTATGAGACAAGTCCAAAGTGTCAAAGAAAATGAGATCCCATTGTCTTGAGAAGACTGGTAATCTTGTTTGCTTATGAAGACTTGTAATTTATCCTGCTGAGATCATCTAGATCCCCAGATAACTTTAATTGACTGACTGTTTGAAAAGCATCAGATTATCCACAGTTCTAACATCATAGAGGACTGGTCACCCCATAGTTTCTCTGTTCCTATGCCAACGAAAACCATACGGGATGTTAGTCAGTGTCCCTTGTGGGGAAAAATTGACACAGACAGCAGTCTCAGCTAAGCCAGTAGAATACATGTGCATTAATGCATAAGGCAGCTGTCTGAAGTGCCAACGCAAACAGTCTGACTCTAGAAATGCTGTTCATCGTCCATGCAAAGCATGTGCCTAAAAATGTCGGTATCTCTGGCTTTGGGACTGTGGATGCAGTTTCATAGTTCCTGCTGCCTGGGGTTTGGATCAGCTTCAGACTGTTTAGGAGTGGGCCACTTTGTGTTAATTTTGGCAACAGTTAAATGATGTGCTGCTGAGAAAGCAGTGGCAAACTACATGTTTGGAAATGAGCCGGCAGATAGACTGGCCGGTTGTGCGCCACTTGGTGATGGATTGATGTATGACAAGCTAGATGTTTTGATGGCACTTTGGGAGCTAGTGAACAGTGCGAAAGGCACAAATAGAACATTGCTGTCTGAGGAGAATGCACTGCGAAGAGTTAGCAGGGGATCTGGCCGAAGCTCAACACTCGACGAGAATGGCAAGACGGGTGTACAGTCAGACGGTTACTGGTACCTTCCGAATTGGAACTCTTCGCTTGCGTAGCGCTTATGGGAGTGTCCTGAGTGCTGTGATGTCGATTATTAATTCAACATTCAACATTTTCAAACTGCAGAGCATCAATTTCCTAGTAAAATGGCAGACAGTCAACACTTGCTGGGATTGGTTTGTGATGTCCTGCAAAGAATGCCTAAGTACATAAGCGAGAATTCTATTAGTCAGATGCCATCTCCACCGTGAATGTTGACTGCAGTGGATTTCCAACACTCTTGTCTTGGTTGTACACTTTCTCAGACTACTGTTTGTCCATCTCTTGATAGTGTCCTCCCACTTACATTATTTTCTCTCTCTTGCCTTTTGACTTTTTCTTCCAGTATGGTTTAAAAAAAAGTCTTATATGTTTAAATGTGACCAAAATATTTCAGTCTTTTTTTTTAAAACTGAGTCACTCTCTTCTCATTCACAGTCTTTCCAGAACCTCTGTATTTGATTTGTTTCCATGAAATACCACCTATTCTTCTGTATATCCGCATGACATCCAACAAAGGATGTCTAAGAGCAAATGATGAAAGTCAAGGGTGTCTAGCCAGGGGACCTGGTTCATGTATGTGAAAACTGATAATGTGATGATGTGCACTGATATGTGTGTTGTTTCTCTTGTCACAGGCCAACAGTTTGTTACTGAATGTCCTGTTGTGTGACTCCATAATGAACCTGTTCAAGGACCACAACTTTGACAGTTGTACTATCTGTGTCTGCAATGCCGATATCAATGGTAGGTTGTATCAGTGTGCGTGTCTGCTCACTTGCTAGTTAACCTGTCTAGTTCTTAGATTCTCAGTTAACCAGTTCACCTTTAATTTCAATCTTTTTCTTTTTTCTTTTTTTTTTTCTCTTCCTTTTTTAGCCTCTGTTCAAGTACTTTGTCTAGCCCTTATTTCCATTCAAACTTTCTATAGCACCTTCAGCTCAGAACTGACTTGCACGTCTCCATATCCATTCTGTCTGCTTATGTGGCAGAAGAATGGGCCTCAGTTTGAATAAAGGGAAGACAGAAGTAATGGTGGTATCAAAGAAACAACTTATTCCACGCTACCGAATTTCATATAAAATACCAGAAAGGATTCCTGATGTTACCAGGTAAGATGGCTCACCTTCCACACAGTCATCTGCCTAGCTCCCCATTCCTCCTACCACTTGTGTGTGCTGTTTCATCATTTTGATTAAGCTACAGTAAATAAGTAGTGTAGATCCCTTTTTTCGCCTTAGATGCAGCAGACATATGGGAAAAGCACCCATATTTTTACAGACCATTTTTGCACTAGGTGGGAAATATGGTCAGCATTACGCTGGCTGTCTTTACTTTCCAGAACATACAGCTTGGTACCCATTTAAAGCTGGGTTGACCTGCGGCGCCCAATACCATGATAAAAATCTACAGCAGTGGGTTTCGATCTCAGTACGCTGGAATTATGAGTCGGACTCACAATGCTTCAGCCGCGTATAGCCGCTAAGATACAGTAAATGCAATGTTTTTAAATCTTTTCTTTTTCATTATTATTTTTTATTCAAATATGATCATCATGTCTTACTATATATGTGGTGTGCTGTACTGTATGTATTTAGGAAAATATATTTTACTATTTGAGTTCATTGGACCCTGGAGCAGATTTATTAACTTTCCATGATTTTCAGTGGCGAAAACTGCCTTGAATTTCAAGCGATTTTGGATTTGAACACCGTCTCAGAGTTGACTATGTTTTAATTCCGAGGTGCCACTGTGTAACCATCCTGGCAGATGCTTGAGATGTTCCTGTCTTTGATTTTTTTCACCATCAGCTTGGGAATTCAGTTACTTACAGATAGTGATGTGACAGAAAGAGTGGCCCCGGCCTCACATATTTTGACTTATACACACTTTGTTGTCTGTGTCCCCAACAGGCAGTGATGTCAGTGTGTACTTACCTGACACCAGCAAGGGCTCCTCCTCCGGACTCAAGTGCACCTGTGCTTTCAGCGCAGCCGTTAACCGCAGGTTTGGCTACGACTCTGGCCTCTTCTATGAAGAAGAGCTGGAGATCACAGGCCTGCGCCATGACCGCTACGACCATCGGAAGCCGTCGTTGATACAGCAGGAGTTGATGAAAAGCATTGGAGATTCTTTACACCGGCTGGAGGATATCAGTCCACAGGTAATTGTCTCTTTTTTTGTTTTAGGACAAAGGGGAAACAGCTGCACAGAATTTTGAAGGTGTTGGGGAGGATTGCTGTCTAGTACCTCTGTTTAGCTAAACAAGACTTAAAACACCTCTACATACCAGGGTAGAAGAAGGAAAACTAAACAAGACCGTAAGGTATTTATATCCCAGAGTAGAAGCGGGAAGACTAAACAACACTGTAAGGTACTTCTACACCAAACAGGACTGTAAGGTACCTCTACATCCTGGATAGAAGAGGGAAGACTAAACAAGACTAAGGCACTTCTACAACCCTGGGTAGAATAGGGAAGACTAAACAAGACTGTAAGGTACCTCTACATCCCTGGGTAGAAGAGGGAACACTAAACAAGACTGTAAGGTACCTCTACATCCCTGGGTAGAAGAGGAAAGACTAAACAAGACTGTAAGGTACCTCTACATCCCTGGGTAGAAGAGGGAAGACTAAACATGACTGTAAGGTACCTCTACATCCCTGGGTAGAAGAGGGAAGACTAAACAAGACTGTAAGGTACCTCTACATCCCTGGGTAGAAGAGGAAAGACTAAACAAGACTGTAAGGTACCTCTACATCCCTGGGTAGAAGAGGGAAGACTAAACAAGACTGTTAGGTACCTCTACATCCCTGGGTAGAAGAGAGAAGACTAAACAAGACTGTAAGGTACCTCTACATCCCTGGGTAGAAGAGGGAAGACTTAACAAGACTGTAAGGTCCTTTTACGTCCCAGGGTAGAAGAGGGAAGACTAAAACAAAACTGTAGGGCACTTCTACATCCCAGGGTAGAAGAGGGAACACTAAACAAGACTGTAAGGTACCTCTACATCTCTGGGTAGAAGAGGAAAGACTAAACAAGACTATAAGGTACCTCTGCATCCCAGGGTAGAAGAGGGAAGACTGTAAGATACCTTTACATCCATTGTAGAAGAGGAAAGACACTAATATACTCTAAAGAATGAGAAAAGAACCTTAGAGAAAGTACTATAGCACATAAACCAGGAAATTGTTCCTTGCCTGTCCACTGTGTACAGACTATAAAGACTTGTTTGTGTTTCCATCCACAGATCATGTACTTCCTCCTGAGCCAGTATTCATCCCCGTTCTTGTCGTGTTTAGGCAGCCAACATCTCAACTATTTACACATGGCCTCGGACACCACCTACCAACTAACCAGTGTGGACCTTCTGCAGATCCGAGGTACCCCTTCTGCTGTCTTCTCTTTCTATATTATATACAGATTGTGTTAAGTGCCCACTCCTGTGGTACTGAGAGTGTTAGTACCCTGCTTATGTGGTTCTGGAGTCCTTTGGGGAAGTTTAAAAAAAAAATTAAAGTGTTTATGAGCACTAGCATGACAGAATATTTAGGATTGATGTTGTTTGTTTATCACAAGTGATGAGGACAACTCTTTCTTTCATCCGTCATAAATTTGTGAGTTTAGAGGTGACTTATAACTCCACTGTGTGCCCAGAAGAGTCTAGGACATTGAGGGTAGGGCACAGTGTCTGTAGATAAAAGGCTTGTTGCCGGGTCTTTCTGGCCTATTTTCGCTGTTCAGCTGCCCTTGTTCTAGATGCCTTGCAGATCGTTGCACCTTCTGGGATATATGTGCGCTTTAAAATCTGTATGAAAAAGTGACTGGCTCGATGAAGTGAGGAAGAGCTGTGCAGTTTCGTCGACCTCACTCTATCCATCTGAATCCAGTGGCAGGGCAAATCGAGATGGCTGGAGATGGTCAGGTGCAGTGGATGACCAGGGTGTTCTGCGTGCCTCACCGTGCTCTTCACGCTCCACAGCGTGTTGCTGGTACCTGCCATCAGGTCCATTGAACTAGGTTTGGATTGATAGAAAGCAAGCAAGGCAGTCCTTCTGCAAATAGATAAAGGTCGTAGACTCATCCCGCAAATTAGACATGGACAGTCGGTTTCTTCAGACATGTTATTAGAGGGATTGGACTTAAGAATTTCATAACAGCTAGCAAGATTGGTGGGGAAAGCAAAGAGGATGGCTTAGCCGTTGAAGGCAGTTGAGACAAGATCATTAAGCTGATCCTTGATTCTGGTGATCATCTGGGATACCAAAATATGTCACAGTTACTCCATAGAGTAAGTCCAGTATTATGTCAGTCACTTCTACTTCCCTGATCCTTTTCCAGTACCAATGTAAGTCTGGGGTTTTTATGATATCCAAGGTTATATTTGTTTTTGACAAAAACAAAATTAAAGCGTTTACAGTATCTTTTTTTTTATACACATCTACTTTTCTTTTTCTTCTTCTCTTTCACCTCCTCCTCTTTTTTCTGCTGCTCCTTCTACTTCTTTTTCTTTGTCTTCTTTTTCTGCATGTTTGGATACCTTTGTTTGATAGATCTAAAACTGTGTATTGTTTCCCTGCAGATGCCAACGATGTTGTTTGTCAGGCCCTGGAGGTGGCGCGCCAGGCCATGGATCATTGCCTTTCTAGCAGATTTGAGGAGCATCTGTTGAAAACCAACTGCATGCACAAGTGGCCTTACTTGAGAGGTAGGTTATGACTCCACGCAGGTCTCTCCTAGTCTGTGCTTGGGTTGCCTGTCCATGGTTGTTGTTTGTTTATGTCTGTAATTGTAACATAGAAATATTCTCAGAATATCTTGGACAAAGAAGATGAGAAATATTGACATCTTAAAAGATCTGAACATCAAGGAAGATTGGCTAATAAACAGCATCCTTTCTCAAAAACTGAAATATTTTGGTCATATCAAGCGCCACGGCTAATTGGAAACAATAATAGCAGAAGGCGTGGTACCAGGAAGGAGGGGCAGGGGCCGACCGACACAAAGATGGGCACAGGATATAATTGACTCCTTGAGTGTGAAAGTGCATGAGACGGGAGAACTGGCGAGAGACCAAGTTTCTTCCAGGCAGACTGATGAGAGCGACGTTCTGCAAAGGACCTGCTACATGATGAATTGTAACATTGAGAAGAAAATTCTCAAGAACTATATAAATCCGGACCTGATATACAGAAGTGAATCATGAACATGTCTACGATTAGTGAACAGTTTTGTGTAGGCGGCAGAGATGTGTTTTTATAGACATGATGAGAATACCCTGGACAGATAAAAACAGTAATGAAGATGTCTTGAAAGAAACTGAATCACAAAGAGAACTGATTGCCTTCATTAGAAGGAGACAGTCTACAGGTCACAAGTACATTGTGATGGTTGGAAAGTTGGAGTGGAAAAGAGACAGAGAAGATGCTGGACAGTTTGATATCATGGCATGGAAGATCATCGTGTCAGAATTGATTGAAAGTACACAAGACAGAAGGTTGTGGATAGGCGTGACTACCAATGCCTCCCGCCATGGACTAGGAAAATAAGTTCACACCCTTATGTTATCTCTTCTTTTCTCTACCACTAGAATGCCTCGCGTCATTTATGACAGAAAAAAATAACAACAAAATTATATCTCCCTTGAAGAAACAGGTGTAAAGCATGCATTGATTAGATCAGTGCTCTTCAACCACCTTAAGCATATGGCAAGACTCCCTCCCTTGAGTTTATTGCAAGACCCCACCCGCCCTTCCCCCTCCTCCTCCAAGATAATAAAATGTGATTAAAAAGAGGACAGTAGATTCTGCAAACAAGAGAAACAGAAAGTATGGAGATACGTTTTGGTCAGAATGTGTTCTTGGTCTATAATTAAATGTGCATGTTACCATATTACTTAAATTTTAAACAGCGGGTGCACAAACTGCTCATAAAAATAAAAACAACCTTGTCGTTTTATTTAATAAATAGTTTTTTAAAATATTTTATTTATAATTACATTTAAACAAAATGAAAGCATACCGGATTCTTTCAATTACATGTTAACTCACATGATGCCCTCCTTGAAACCTCCATGCGCCACCCAGGTTGGAGACCTCTGGATTAGATAGTTGAGGTTCTGACAGCACTGCCGTTCGTGTCATTTACTGCTGAAGTCTTTCTGGCCATTCCTCTTTCATGATGGGATATGGTGAAGCCAGCCAGCTATGTTTCTCATTTGGATTGATATCTTTTTATGGGGCAGCTGACTTAATGATTCATGTATGCCCCTGCCAGGAGCCAGCTGTGTGCCCACCAACTCCCAAGACATCATCCAGTGTCTCAAGTCACTCCACCCCATCCTGCAGAACGCCATCCAGAACAAGAGAGTCACCCGCATGTGGGAGAACACCTACAAGCTCCAGGGTCCTATCAGCTGGAAGGACTTCCATGACCTGGCCGGCAGAGGTAACTCTCACCTGCTTTCTCAGATTTATGTCTTTTTCTGTTCTCTGTAATGAAAGTCAAGCCATTCATTCTTTCCCTTGTATCTTCTTTTTCTTCTTTTGTCGTTTCACTAATGCCAGGTTGTAGCCCAGTGTATAGTTTTCTGTATTTGTCTTGCCTTTCTCGGGTGGCTTGTGTGATGGATTTGTTCATCTTTTTTGCAGTTTTCTACTTCACCTATTATCTATCTCTTTCATGGTCTTTCTCCCAGATGTTCTAATGTAAAAAAATATCATTACAGTTTTGTCTGGCTGCATTCTCACTAGATGGCCAAACCATTTCATTCTCTGTCTCTCAGGATAATCCTGACATGGTCTTGCTCCAACTTTCTCTCTTATGCTGGCATTTTGTAACCCTGTTTCTTCTTGTGTTGTTAGTGATCCTGCTTAGACAATGCATTTCGCATGTAGTTATTTTCATTGTCCATGTTTGGCACTGATACAACAAAATAAGGATAAAGAGGCTATTAGTCATTAGCTGGAAGGGAGACATTTAGATGTCCCTTGTATTGGCAGATATAACACAAATAATATGTCGATGTATTTGGTGTATCAGTAGGGCAAGTGGACACAGATACATCAGACAGGCTTTGCCACACACACAAACTCCCGTTACTGCCTGTATCTAATACTTGTGCAATGTCAGCAGGGGAGTCTTTGAGCCTAAAGATTTGAGGGCCGCTTGGCTAGTGCTGTCCTCATGGTCTGTAGGTTATGGTTTAATGTTTTGTCGGTCAGAAAGAGGAAAAAAATCCACAAGCTTTTGAGGATTCGAACCTGGGTCTTCTGCATGAGAGCCCGATGCTCCAAATGGTTTGGCCAGCTGCTTCTGCAGGATCAGCAGAAGGATTAAAATGGATGGAAGATACAAGGCAGAAGCGGAACCCTATGACAGATGTTGAGAGAGAGGAGGCCAGATGTACTGGAACCCGGATAGAGCTGAATGGTTCACTAGACTGCAAGCACCATATGGGGTACAGCGGCACAAGTGGGGGATGATGATTCGTTTGGCACAGGCCTAGAAGTTCAAACATCTGGACAAATATATATCATTGGTGCGATCTCAAAGAGATTAAAACCAATAGGGCACATTAAAATTGTATTTTATGAAAGGGACATCTTATACACATAAATCCTTGTCAGTGCAGGCTTAAAGGGAAAACAAAGAATTCTTGCATGCAGATAATTATTTGTAACACTGATTGCTTACTGACCAGCTAGCACAGGAGCTGGACAACGCTGGACATTGATTGTCGACATCTATCATCATCATCATATAGCATCTGACCACTGGTAACATGAGTGACCTGTAATTGATGTTGTTGACATCTGTCATCATCATCATCTGAATCATATAGCATCTGACCACTGGTAACATGAGTGACCTGTAATTGATGTTGTTGACATCTGTCATCATCATCATCATCTGAATCATATAGCATCTGACCACTGGTAACATGAGTGACCTGTATTACAGAGTTGTTGACATCTATCATCATCATCATCTGAATCATATAGCACCTGACCACCAGTAACATGAGTGACCTGTAATTGATGTTGTTAACATCTGTCATCATCATCTGAATCATATAGCATCTGACCACCGACACCATGAGTGACCTGTAATTGATGTTGTTGATATCTATCATCTGAATCATATAGCACCTGACCACCGGTAACATGAGTGACCTGTAGTTGATGTTGTTGACATCTGTCATCATCTGAATCATATAACATCTGACCACCGGTAACATGAGTAACCTGTAATTGATGTTGTTGACATCTATTATCTTTATCATCTGTAATTGATATCTTTCAGGGACGGAAGAGAACCATGAACCTCAACCCATCCCTAATCTATTGGTGGGGCACGACAGAGACTGGTTGTCGGTGTCCCCCTACGGCGTCCGGTTTTGGGTAAGGCTGTTGTTAATTTTCATGTGCTGTAAGCTTGAAAAATGTCTGCTCGCCCCGGAGAATAGCTTTTCTGAGAAAAATGAAAGGAATATGGTATGACGCAGCACTCCTTGAAACAGATAACCATAAATTTATGAGAGAAACGTTTTGTCGGGCATGTTGTGAGAAGGAATCAACCTGAGAACTTGGTAATGACTGGCAACATTTTTGGATAAAGAAGGGGGGAAAGACGAGAAACGGAAAACAAAAGCTCTGACTTAACACGTTATTGTCTTGATCGTGCGAGATGAAAATCAACTGACCACCTACGATTGTGATGTTTTATAGTGTGCTACAAGTGAAAGAAGAGAGAGAGAGACACGCACACACAAACGTGCCCGCACCCTGTCCCCCACAGGTGTGTTGTAAAAGGCGACTGATTGGGGATTTCCATTTCAGTGTTGGAGCGCATTTATATGAGAGGTGAGAAACCAACAGTTTGCATACAAATAAGCCAGATCTGTCAAATGAATATGCATGCAATGAGTTCTGGAGTAAGACTTAAGTCCAGAATTAGGCGAACAACCAGAACTTTCCATTAGAGTCTACAGCCAGTGAATGCTAAGAAGAGAAGAAAAGTTCCTTTTCTTTAGTGTCCTGTATTCTCTGCCTTGTTTTCTTGAAACTGCACCATCTATCACCGTTCTCTCCAGGCCACCACGACTCTTGACATGTCCAAAAAATAGCTCCGTTTTTCGGGAGAAGGTGCTGTTTATGAGCCAATTCTCCTTCATGTTCAGGTCATGCAGGATGTCATTGTTTATCATCTTCTTATTCCAGGGTATTCTAAGAACCTTTTTGTAGCGTTTCAGTTCAAAAGCTCAAATTTTCTTCTTTAGAGACTCGCATCCATAAGTTGCCACAGGAGAGATGCATGATTTCACAGATTTCACCTTAACGTGCTTGCTGGTTCTTTGCTATATGTTCTTATTCTCTGCTATGTTAAAGGAACTCGGCTATCCTCTGAATAACGGTCCCAGATTATGGAGGCAGATAATATACCCTAACATGTGAATTACTGACCTCTTCCGGTGATTATACCGCCACCGCTGAGAGTATCTCCGGCGCGGGAGATACTCTCGGCATGACTTTAACTCGGCAGAAGCTTTTTCGCAGTACGCTGTGTAGTCACCAGAAGAGGTCTGCAATTTACATGTGACTGAGGCCCTGTTAGGGTATATTTGCGGCCTATATAATTTGGAGCCGTTATTCGAATGATAGCAAACTCTTTCTCTAACTTTTTTTATGCAGTGGCCATTGTTGTTCATAATTGAGTCTAAATATTCAATCTTTGACATTTTCAATCTCTTCATTGTTGGTTTCGATATGTTATCCACTCTAAACTGCTGATGTGTTTAGTCTCTTTTCATGTAGACCCGTATTCTTGTTTTCAGGAGAAGCAGTTCCTGGAGCCGTATGGGCGTATGCGTGATGTCCTGTATGTCGTCGTTGCTCCAGAGAGTGACTTCCTCTTGCAGCACATCGTCTCTTTCTTCAAGGAGCTGAGCACCGTGTATGAGCTGTGCCGACTGGGCCGACACTGTGCCATCAAACCCTTGCGTGACGGGGTGTTGCGCGTCGGGAAGCAGGTGGCTGCTAAACTTTCCAATGAGCCTGTTGGGGAATGGTTCAGTACATTAGGTAATGTTTATGTTGTCTCTGTGGGAGAATGGTTCAGTACATTAGATAATGTTTATATTGTCTCAGTGGGAGAATAGAATAGTTCAGTACATAAGGTAATGTTTATATTGTCTTTTGTGAGAATGGTTAAGTAAATTAGAAAGTGTTTGTATTGTCTTATTTGAATAATGGTTCAGTACATTAGGTAGTTTTTAATTTTTTCGTATGGAGAGAATGGTTTAGTACATTGGGATATTATTAATTTTTTCGTTTGGATGAATGGTTCAGTATATTGGGTAATGTTTATATTGTCACAGTGGAAGAATGGTTCAGTACATTTGGTAATGTTTGTAATGTCACAGTGAGAGAATGGTTCGGTACATTTGGTAATGTTTATATTGTCACAAATGTTTAATTACATTTCGTAATGTTTATATTGTCACAGTGGGAGAGTGGTTCAGTACATTAGGTAATGTTTATATTGTCACAGTGGGAGAATGGTTCAGTGCATTAGGTAATGTTTATATTGTCACAGTGGGATAATATTTCAGTTCATTAGGTAGTGTTTATATTGTCACAGTGGGAGATAGGTTCAGTACATTAGGTAATGTTTAAATTGTCACAGTGGGAGAATGGGTCAGTACATTAGATAATGTTTATATTGTCACAGTGGGAGAACAGTTCAGTACATTAGGTAATGTTTATGTTATCACAGTGGGAGAATGGTTCAGTGCATTAGGTAATGTTTGTAATGTCACAGTGGGAGAATGGTTCAGTACGTTTGGTAATGTTTATAATGTCACAGTGGGAGAATGGTTCAGTACATTAGATAATGTTTATATTGTCACAGTGGGAGAACGGTTCAGTACATTAGGTAATGTTTATATTGTCACAGTGAGAGAACGGTTCAGTTTATTAGGTGGTGTTTATATGTCACAGTGAGAGAATGGTTCAGTATATTTGGTAATGTTTTTCAGGTGATTCGCACATAGCTTCCAAACTGAAACTGTACGCACAAGTCTGCAAGTACAACCTGGGTAAGTTTTGTTTCCTAAAGGAATTTTTTTTTATTATGGTGTTTTCCCAATGTGCCAATTGTTGGAGATAGGTCCTTGCACATCCAATGTATGAGTTCTTTTTGCAGTTATGACATATAGACAAAACACCAAGGTATATGTCTCTGTTATCTGTTTTCTCTCATTGTGTGTTACGGGGCCCTATTGTGTGTTGAACAAGAATAGACCCACTGCCTCCGCAAAAAAGCCTGCCATAGGAGTCGACTAATTGGGAGCTTGTTCAGAGTGCATCTGCCCAAATGGCAAGGAACAACCAACTGCACACAAATAAGCCAGTAAAACTGATGTACATGCAAAACTCAGGCCCTGGCACAAAGCCATGGTCTGAATGGAGGAACAACTAGGACTTTCCATCCCATTCCCCCCTTCCTGCAAACATTTAACTGTTTGGTAGTTTGCTGAAATCAGATATGTTAGGCCAAAAGGCTCAGCTGTCGCAGCCTTGTTGTAAGCCTTGACAGATCATACAAACCACCTTTTTTAAAGGTGAATTCCGAAGAGGAAGAATTTTTAAAATTATCTGGATCATCTTCATTTAATCACTACCTGCTCTAGATCGAGCATTGATTGTAAAAGTGTTTTTGTTTTTCCATTTTAAAAAATACAGCGCCAATTCTGTGCCAGCCAAATTTGGACAAGTCCATGTTCGAGCAGGGATCCAACACCACGCACAACAAAGCCCAGTTTAAAATGCCAGAGCCAGCCATTAACTGTACCAGACCTGCCACCCCTGACAGTCAGCCTGTCTCAAATTCTGCCCAGCCGCCGGGTGCCAGTCAGGGCACACAGGCTGCAGATGATACCAAAGGTAAGCTTTGTCTTCATCCGCTTGTGGATAGCTTGCACTCAGTTCACTAATTTCACCTCTCTCTTGTGTTTTGCCCTCCTAGAACTGCTACTGTCTGTCTGTGCCCATCTGACTCTATATTTTTTTTTTTCTCAAAGACGCTTGATTTTAGTGTGTTTTTGTGTTCTAGTTAGTGATGTAAATTCATGTCTCTGGGGGTCTCTGTAGGTAAGTGGTCAAGCCGTTTGCCTTGCACTGTGAAGGTCATGGGCTTGTTTCACGGCTGCGTCCTTCAGCCTACCAGTGCAATTTTTACAAAGATCCCTGGGGGTGTCACCGGAGCTATGGAGTTTGTGCTTTGTGCGATACTCTTGGTAGGCAGCCAGCCATTCTGCAGAGAGAGACCAAGCCATGTGGGATAAAACCTGGTGCAGTAAAGTCGATCCTCTCGACTTTAACCTTTTTATATTCATGTAATGTGCTGATGAAAGCTCTCTAGCCAAGGCGTTCTCTAGTCATTTGTCATAATGTGAAGCTGACTTTTCCAGTTAAAGGTTAACAAAGAAGAAAAACATTGAGCTGCAAGGAAGTAGACAGAGCTTAGTTGATCACTCAGAGACATGTTCTGAATATGTCATCCCTTCCTTGAACTGAATAAATGTATGTGTTGTTTGTTTGTTGCGTTCACTGGCTGTAAACCCTGGCGGAAAGACCTGGTTGTTCGTCCATTTCTGGACTTCAGCTATGTTCCAGGATCTAAGTTTTGTGTGTGCATCCGTTTTACAGATCTTGTTAATGCAGACTGTTGGTTCCTTGCCTCTCAGGCAGATTCACTCCAACTTTGAAGGAAGCCAGTTAGTCGCCTCTTACGACAAGCTTGTTGGGGAGGCGGTGGGTCTGTTTTTGTTTTTAACAAACTGAGACCCTGGAACCCACACGGGGAAGATATAAACTGATGTGATATGACTTGTTCAGCTCTCAATGCGTCTGTGGTGTTTAAACCACTTCTTTTCCATGTGTACAGATGGGGGTCAGAATGATGGAGCCTCCCAGCAGAGAGAGGGCCCACATGAAGGCAGCGACAGCCACGGAGAGGAGAACAACCCTGATGCCCCGGGGATAGTTGTCTACATTGTGGACCCATTCTCCTACGGCCAGGGAGGCGAAGGCTTGTCTCGTTTGGCCGTGATTGGCCTCCTCAAATGTTTCCAGGAGATGGCTCTTCCGGAGCACCTGGCCAACATTGTCAGCCTGCAGGTGAGGTTGTCTGGTAAATGAAATACCTGGTTTGTGGGCTGGTTGGTTAGTGCAATGCTGCCTGGTTTGTGTGCTGTTCTGGTAATGGAATAAATAACTGCTTTGTGGACTGGGCAGTTCATGAAATAGATAACTGGTTTGTGGGCTGGGCAGTTCATGGAATAGATAACTGGTTTGTGGGCTGGGCAGTTCATGGAATAGATAACTGGTTTGGGGGCTGGGCAGTTCATGGAATAGATAACTGGTTTGTGGGCTGGGCAGTTCATGGAATAGATAACTGGTTTGTGGGCTGGGCAGTTCATGAAATAGATAACTGGTTTGTGGGCTGGGCAGTTCATGGAATAGAAAACTGATTTGTGGGCTGGGCAGTTCATGGAATAAATAACCTGATTGTGGGCTGGGCAGCTCATGGAATAGATAACTGGTTTGTGGGCTGGGCAGTTCATGGAATAGATAACTGGTTTGTGGGCTGGGCAGTTCATGGAATAGATAACTGGTTTGTGGGCTGGGCAGTTCATGGAATAGATAACTGGTTTGTGGGCTGGGCAGTTCATGGAATAGATAACTGGTTTGTGGGCTGGGCAGTTCATGGAATAGATAACTGGTTTGTGGGCTGGGCAGTTCATGGAATAGATAACTGGTTTGTGGGCTGGGCAGTTCATGGAATAGATAACTGGTTTGTGGGCTGGGCAGTTCATGGAATAGATAACTGGTTTGTGGGCTGGGCAGTTAATGGAATAGATAACTGGTTTGTGGGCTGGGCAGTTAATGGACAAAAATAACTGGTTTGTGGGCTAGGCAGTTAATGGAATAGATAACTGGTTTGTGGGCTGGGCAGTTAATGGACAAAAATAACTGGTTTGTGGGCTGGGTAGGTAATGGAACAAATAACTGGTTTTGGGGCTGGTCACTTAATTGGATATTTGCTTTGTGGGTCTGTTTGGTTATTATAATTTGTTTTCTTTTATGGTTCTTAGTTTAACTAAATATCTATTTCTCTGGTTCGTTGGCATGGGGGTGGGCTGAGGGGTTAAATATATCTTTGATTGATTCCTAAGGTGTTTGATTTTTAACTCTTTCACTCTGCGATTGCTAAAATAAATGGGTTTTAAACCCGTACCCGTAGGAATTCTCCCTAAAACCCTTTTTAAAACCATTTTTCATTGGTTGTTTGAAGAAAAAAAATTACAAATTGATTTATAGACACACACACACACACAAAATTTATGAAGTAAACAGACATTAAAAGGGGCAAATCAGTAAACATGTGAAGAGAATGAATCATTAAATGGAATACACTACTGAGAGAATAAAAGAAATGTGAATTGGTAAGTTATCCTGTGTCCTCCATCATTGAGACTTACAGGGCAGTTTTAAGTCAAAATGTTTTTAAAAAGACATTTGGTTCAAAAGCCCCCTCCCCCTCCCCTCTTCCATGCTTTTTTTGGTTAATATATTTATATTCATTCCTCCTAAACTCTGTGCAGTCATACATAGAACCACTGGAATAGGTCACCGCAGAAATACCAGTAGATAGGCATTTACGGTACAGGGTCACAAGTCTATTGTAACTAGATTTTGTTGTCTGGGGGTAATTGTGATTGTTTTAATAGTTGTCTTTTCCCTTTTTTTTTTTTTCAAGGTTTACAGTTTTTTCTTTTTTAAATGTTTCCCAAGCTTTTATTAAGTTTTCTGTCAAGGCAAAAATTTTTATAGTTTTTTTTCCCTCATAACATGGACCATCAGAGCTGAAAACAATGAAAATGTGTGACCTGGATTGTGTTCTCTCCTTGCAGCTGATCCCACTACAGGTAATCATGGAACACAAGGAGAATGCTCTCAGGTTACAAGCTTTAAAGTCCATCGCCTTCTCCGTGTTCACATCCTCCAAGTGGAACCTCACCCACACCATCCTGGGCCGCTCGTTGACTGGGTTTGGACCTGCAGCCGCTGCTGAAGTGATTCTCAAAAGGAAAGAGGTGAGTTTTGTGTGCTTGTTTTGAGTGTGGGTAAATGGATGCACAGGTCATTCAGGTATCTGTCAGTCTCTAGGAACAGTGGAGTTGTGCCGCTAGTTTTTGGGAACAGCAGTGTCTGATGTGAGAGTGGCAATCTCTGCTACATAGTGTACATAAAAACCACCTCCTCCTCCTGCTCCTTTTTTTCTCTGCTTCTGGAGCTCTCCGGTGGCTAGAGAACAAGATGCATACACATGTCGCAGTTGTAACAGACTCTGAAAGCATGCTGAGAAAAGTGAAGACAGGAATGCTTCGAGCAGAATGGCAAGCTTCACTGGAAAGGTCAGACAGATTGGCTGGATCTGCACTACTGGGGGGATGAACTAATACATGACAAGATAGATATGGTCAAGGCCCTTTGGGAACAAGCAACAGAATCAGTTGAGAAAGAAGATTATTATGGCCTGGAGAGAATGAGGCACTTGGGTGTAACCAAAGGGTCTGGTCGGCTCACAACACTCAGAGGAAAAGCAAGGCCGACATTTAATCAGATTGTGACCGGTGCCATCAGTATTGGAACTCTGTGCTGGCTGCTGAAGATGAGGACAGAGCATGCATGGGAATTCTCTGAGTGCTGTGATGTCAATTTTTGACTCAACTTAACTCTGCTTCTGGAATGCCTCGCCGCAGCAGGGCAGAAAGAGATCTCTGGAACAGACCCGTCCGTTTACTTTGTCTAAAGTACTTTTCAGTGTCTCTGATATTTCTGCGGTCCATCTTCTACATGGTCGACCTCTGCTACTGTTGTATCTATATAGCATTGCTCTCAGTGGTGACCTGTCTGATGCCAATCTTGTTACATGGCCAAATCATTTGATTTGTTGTCTACCTATAAAGTTCAGTATTGGTGTGCTGACTCTCCTATCATCATCATTCCTAAGTCAATCTTTTATGGTAACACCCAGCATATTACGTAAAATTTCATTTCTATAGTGACTCTTTTCCTTCTGTCGTCTGAAGCTGTATAACACTAAGGCTGGATTTCTCTCTGACATCATCTCTCTTTAGCTTACTCCGTTTTGCTTCTTGCGCACTGCTACAATCTTTCACTGTCTGCCTCCTGAGGAGCCAGTCTGCAGCTGATCTCTCCCAAGTATCTGTGCCAGCGTTGGTATCCTTTAGATCACATTTGCGTATGTCCTTGGCCTTCCTGCAGATCTTTGGTTAGTTAGTTAGTTAGTTGGGTTATCATCATTGCACTCCAGACACGTCCATGGGTGCTCAGATCCTCCGCTCAGTATGAACCCCAACGTCCGATGGCTAATAGTACCAGTTCTATGTTGATTAACAAGTCGTCTGGTGTGAGTCTCGTTTTTTGCTATGCCGATCTTAATTCCCAAGTCTGCCATTCTGGCGAGTGATGTGGATTCACTGCCTCCAAAGTCCTGCAGGTCTTACCTCTGTTATCATTTCACATTACAAGAGATCCTTTGGAATGTGCTTGTTCTCCATATTAGAGACATATTCCACCCAACACAGGCGTCTTTGCTTCATTAGAAAGTACATTTTTGGCATTCCTGCTTTGTTGAGTACACATTTATTGAAGACAAGTCTCACCATAATACACCAAGAATGTGTCTGGTACAGTGCATGTGGAAAGTTTTCTGGGGTTTTTTTTTTGGGGGGGGGGGCGTATAGAGTCCAGGTTTCACTGAAGTAAAGGAGCGTGCTCCGAACACATCCTCCAAGACTGTCCCAAACACAACATTTCCAGGCAAAACTTCTGGCCAGAGAGACACTGGGGAACCCAAACTTTACGGGCCGCTAAGGGAATTACAAAAGACAGTGAAGCTCATACTAGAGACAACACTGCAGATATTGATAATTTATTTCACGCAAATGAAAGAAGAAGAATTTTCTGACAATAAATTGTTCAGTCTGTTGTGTCCTTTCTAATTGTATAATTTAGCAGAATTTTATTTGCCTTGCCCACATTTTTTCTGTAATGAAACATTTTTCGTTTTTCAGGAGGACAGTCGGAAAAGAGAGGAGGATTTGAAACTGTACAGCCCACCATTTGTATTAGCTTCTACAAAAAGCCGGCAGAACCAGATCATGGAGGCAAAGACAGAGCAGCAGACCATTCTGTTTTGTGGCTACTGTCTGTCCGAGGATCAACGCTGGCTGTTGGCTGTCTGCACGGATGAGAAGGGAGAACTCATGGAGTGTTGCACCATCAACATCGAGATCCCTAACCGGTGGGCATCCTTTGTCTTGTTTGTCTCCCTAGATATTTTATGTTATCTCAATCAACCTCAATGCACTGTAAGCATTTTCATGTGTCCATCCTTCTGTGCAGAAGCCACTCCAAGGTACCTCTACTGGTTGTTCACATGGGGAGATGGTTATAATGTCTCCTATCTCGGCCTCAAAGATGGCATAGAGTTGCTTCACCATGCTTTGCTCCCAGGTCACCCAATCGCGTTGGTGTCAGAGATTCGTCATTATTGACCCGCCCAGTTCATCCATATAGAGTTGGAGAGTTTGAAACCTTCATGTGCTTGTTATCAGCTGAAAATCTCAAGTGGTGAAGATCAGTGTGACTGTGGCTGAGCTAATTTCAGAATAGGATTTAATTAAAGGCTGACTGGGAAGCTGAGCAATGTTAAGTTTTGCGTACACATCTATTTCATAGATCTGGCGCTTATTTGTGTGCAGATTATTGGTTCCTAACCTAAGGCAGATGCTCTCCGACTTGGAAGGAAACACGCCTCTACTCATCAGTTTTCACAATCTTGTTAGGGGATCACTGGGTCTCTTCATTTACCCACAGGAGACAGTCATATGGGGTAAAAGCCTGATGTGATGAATGAATTCGGTCCTCTGTTAGTTTATGCTTCTCCCCGACTAGGTTCTGAGGCCATTTTAGGGGAGGGTGGGATAGACCCACCCCCTCCCAACAAGTGTATCATTCAATGCAACTAATTTGGTTCTGCTTAAAGGCACTGATAATCTCAGCCTTGCTGTAAACCACAACACAACATGCCGGCTACCTTTTAAGGCCAGATACATAAGAAGAAACTGTGGCTTGGGCATTGCAAATGAGCTTCGTAAAAGCCGGGGTCACAGTTTCGATCCCTGCTGCAGACCACCTTGTGCTGATTTTGGTTAGGGTACCGAGAGCTGATCATCAGAAAGCAGTGGTAAACTACTTAACATAAAATTGCCTAGAAAAACCTCAACAGCCAAAAAATACTGGGGTTGGTCCTGCAATGTCGTGTTAGCAATACGCAACTGACTAAAACATAGAAAGAAAAGTTTATGTCCTTTGTAGTTGTCTAATTTTTTTCTTTTGTTTTTTAACAATGATTTCCATTGACAGGGGATGTTAATCTTTCTTATATTCCAATCATCATCATCATCAGTTCTCGTTATGCCTAGTGGCACATGAGGCTTCAGAGAGGACTTTCCTTGCTTTCCTGTCCTGTGCAATCTTCATTGCAGTTTTCCATGTCAAAGATGCCGCACTCAGGTCACTTTCCATCGTTCGTCTCCATGTTGTTTTGGGCGCCCCTGTTTTCTCTTTCCCTCTGGTGTCCATGTGAGAGCTGTTTTGGCAGGTATATCAGAAGTCATTCTCATAACGTGGCCAAGCCATTTCCATCTTCTCTTGGTAATCGTACTGTCTAAAGTTTCTTGGTTTGTGGCTTGAAGTAGTTTAGTGTTTGAGATTGTATCTGGCCAGAAAATTTTGATAATTCTTCGTAGACATGTGTGGTAGAAGGTGGACAGCTTGTGTGCATCCTTTTTGGTCATTCTCCAGCATTCCGCTCCATAAAGAAGAACTGGCAAAATGATGCTCTTGTAGAGTCGAAGTTTCATTCCTCTGCAGTAATTGTTAGATTTCCAGATTTATCTCATCCTTCCAAAAGCAGCTCTAGCTTTGTTCAGGCGTGACTGTATGTCTTCCTCTGTCCCTCCCAGTAGGGACACCACACTGCCAAGATATGTGAAATGTTCTACATTTTCAAGTGATTGGTTACTTATGGTCACTGGTTGTTGATTTGGACTGTTTGTCATGATCTTAGTTTTCTTTGTATTTATTCTCAGTCCCACCATTTCTGCTGTGCAGTTTAGTCTGTTACTTTTCTTTTGTATATGTTCATGTTTATGTGATAGGAGTGCTATATCATCTGCAAAATCAAGGTCCTCAAGCATGGTCAATGGAGTCCATTGTATGCCTCTTAATGTCCTGTCTACTGTGTTCTTTAGTATCCAATCAATCACAAGGTTGAAGAGGAGAGATGACATAACACATCCCTGTCTTACACCCGTCTTTACTGGGAAAGATGTATTGTAATTTTTTTATACTGCAGGACTATTTTTCTGGAATTCCATAATGCCGTAAAATTTTCCACAGACCGTCTCTATGGACGCTGTCAAAAGCTTTCTCAAAGTCCATAAAATTAATATATATACTTCTCTGCCATTCGTTGCATTGTTCTAAAATGTTACGTATAGAGAAGATGTGCTCAGTTGTTCCTCTGCCCTTTCTGAATCCTGCTTGTTCCACTCGTAGGCATTTATCTACTCCTTTTTCAAGCCGCATTATGATGATTTTACAAAATATTTTGCTTGGTACTGAGAGTAGAGTAATTCCCCTCCAATTATTGCAGTCTGTTAAGACTCCTTTTTTGAGGATTTTGACTATTGTTCCTTCAGTCCAGTCGTCAGGCAACACTTCTTTTTCCCAAATATCCTTGAACAATGGTTCCAGAATGCTAGCAGTTGTGTTGGAATCTACTTTGAGAAGTTCTGCTGGCAGTTCGTCTTTGCCTGGTGCTTTGTTGTTCTTTAAAGTGTGGATAGCTTTAAGGATTTCTTGTTTGCTTGGTGGTTCAGTAATAATTTCAATGTCCTGAGAGGCTGGTTGAATATCTGGGGGATTTTCAGGATCAGGTCTGTTCAAGAGGTCGGAGAAGTGTTTAGTCCACTGCATGTTTTGTTTTTGTTCTGTGGGTAGCAGTCTGCCTTGGTTATCTCTGATGGGTATGCTGTGATAATTGTTTCTGTTTCCGCAAATTTGCTGGGTAATTTTGTGTAGGGTTTGTAGATCATGTGCTTTAGCAGCATTTTTTGCTGTTTCTGCAAGATTTATAATCCAATGATGCACTTTATTTCCAGAAACCGCAGGAAGAAAGCTTCAGCACGACGTCCAGGTCTGCAGAAACTCTGGGACTTTATCCTGGGTGTGGTCTCCATGGGCTGTTTCCCCACCCGCCTGGTCATTGGCAGGTTTGGCCGCATGGGTCATGGGGAGCTCAAAGGTACGACTGCTGCTGCATGTCCTTGTCCTATGGATGTTTGTGTTTGGTTCCCTTTGTAGTGGGCCTTTGTTGTATGTTGTTGTTTTTGTGGGGCGTGAACATCTGGGGATAATAAGTACATGTTGTCAAAGGTCATAGAGGCTTATCGCCATGTGGGTTCCGGGGCACCGTTGTGGGGAAAACAAGAACAGACTCACTGCCTCCCTAATGAGCATGTTGTAAGAGTAATCTAATTGGCAGCTTCCTTGTAAGTTGAGAGTTCTGCCTGAAAGGCAAAAAACCAGCAGTCTGTATACAAATAAGTCAGATCTGTAAAATGGATATGCATGCAACACTCAGGTTCTGGAAAAAGTCTAAAGTCCAGATGTAGTTGAACAGCCAGAACATTCCGCCGGAGTTTACAGCCAGTGAACACGAAAAAGAAGAAGATTGAGGTTTATAGAGACAATAACAGATCAGATAAAAACCGCCTACACAAAAGAACTGAATGGGAGTAGACCACAGACAGATAAGGGAGACAGTTTAGAGATAATATCTAGGCAGATCCACAAAAACTTGGGGTCATCAGCTGGAAAGAGAAGGCAATTCACAATGGTGAATGGAGACGGGGGATGTCTGTAGCAGTAAACCTCAAGGCTCCGTCTAAATATTGAAGTACAAGATGTATACCACACATTTGAGGATTATCAACGTTACCAACGAAGACTTGCAGTTGTCTACAGTAGCTCAGACTTCAACTAGAGGCGCTTTTCTAATCAAGCATTCACAAATACCCATTGTAACATGACATATAAACGCAATAAATGGAGAAAAAAATGTTTATAAACATTTTTATTAGCTTTTTAATGTTGAAATATTGAGTTAGTTTTTTAAAAATGCTCCTATTTAGCTTATATTATTCATTGCCAACCATGTCCCCCAACATTTTTTTGCATTGACATTGAAAAAATTGACTAAAAACTGGGAAAAGATGTTTTTACATCTTCTGAAATTTCTTTAAATAGCCAGACAAAGTCAGGATGGCCACGCTGATCATGTGATATATTTGCATAATATATCTTTTTCATGCAACCATTTGAATGGAACTCTGAAAGTTTCAAAACTATGCATGTTTTTAATTTTTTAATGAATTTTATTAGAAAGCCAGTCATTTTGAAAAAATCTTCAAACCTTTGATAATGGGAGACAGTAGTGCACCGGATTGCTGGTCAGCAAAGTGTTAAAAGAGCTGTGGCTTACAGCTTGGCTGTGATATCTGCCTTTTCATTCCTTCACATTCCATTTCAGCCCTTTGTGAACAATTGAACAGTGAGGATGCACAGATACATCATTACGGTCTGAGGAGAATGGGGTTGCGAGGAGTTACAGGGGATGTGGCTGACGCTCAACACTCGGGAAGTATGAGGTGGATATACAATCAGACTGCTACTGGTGTCATCAGAATTGGAACTCTTCGCTTGCTGCTGAAGATGGGGGACGGAGCATTTATGGGAGTGTCCAGAGTGCTGTGATTCTTAACCCAACATTCAGCATCACATTTCAGCAAACTGCTAAATAGTCGCATTTTACTTCATGCTTGTTAGGGTGCAGTGGATCTGTCCTTTTACGTTTCACCCAGAACCCACAGAAGTAGTAGTAGTAGTACATTTTACCCCACTAGGACATCACACAAGCGATAAACACCCGATGACACAAAGTGCCACCATGTGGATGAAGATCACCCGTTGAGAAGTCCCAGAAACCATGTTCAGCCATTATACCATATTTATCGCCAGGCTATATTGCAGTCCCTGGCAAAGAGCCAGGGTGGGGCTACAAAATAACAAAAAATTTCATCCCACAAGGGGATGACTAGCATGTGTAATTAGAACCGACAGGGGTGTTGATTATGATACGTGTTTGGAGAGAGAGAGAGAATGCATGTTTTGTGTTTTTTTTTTTTTTTCATTCAAGTATTTTCTTCTGCGTTTGCACTTTTGTGGACATGGCTAAACATGAGAATATATTGTTGCTGCGTGTCTTTGATTGCAGGCTGGTCAGGGCTGCTCAACAAGAAGAACCTCCAGAGCGCCTCCCACCGCCTCAAGACCATGTGCCAGCAGTGTTCAGTTATGGGCCCTTCTGATGTGCCCTGTGTCCTTAGTGCCTGCCTCACTTCCATAGAGACTCATCCCAGCTTTCAGGTAGGTTGGTTCGTACATAGAGTGCCTGCCTGCCTCACTTCCATAGAGACACATCCCAGCTTTCAGGTAGGTTGGTTCATACATAGAGTGCCTGCCTCACTTCTATAGAGACACATCCCAGCTTTCAGGTAGGTTGGTTGATACATAGATTGAGTGCCTGCCTCACTTCCATCGAGACACATTCCGGCTTTCAGGTAGGTTGGTGTTATATAGATTGAGTGCCTGCCTCACTTCCATAGAGACACATCCCAGCTTTTATGTGTGTTGCTTCATACATGGACTGAGTGTGTACTGTTCTACTGCATTTTTGCTGCTGAGTCTACTCAAACTCTTTCAGTCTCAGGTGATTTTAAAAAAGAAAACCAATTTGGCACAATAATTACAGTGAAAAAGGCATAAGTGTATGACTTTTAAAGAGACAGTATATATTGAGCTGCATTTCAAATATTTGGCCAGATTTCTGATGCATCCCCACAGACCAAACATGGAAGTAATCATAACATGCTATGTACGCTTGGTGCATTCATGCGACAGAAAGAGTAAAGAAATATTTTAATGGGAGTCTAAATTGTTACCAGTATAATCAGGTCAAGGACTAAACTCAAATTTGCATAGACCAGTTGGCACTCTGGTCAGAATTAGGCCAGCAACCTTTACTTCCCAGGACTTTACCTGGTACCCATTTTAAGCTGTGTTCCTCGGGACCAAGGTAAATCTTTACAAATCAGACTATACCGATTCTTCTTCTTCTTTGCGTTTACTTGTTAACTTCGGCAAAAATGTGTGGGTGTTCGACAACTTCTGGGAGTTAGTCATGTTTCAGAACTTGTTTTGTATGCAGACTGTTGGTTCTTCACCTCTCAGATCAATGCACTCTGACTTTGAAGAAAGCCTCTAGTTAGTTTACTCTTATGGCATGCTTGTTAGGGAGGCAGTGGGTCTGTTCTTGTTTTGCTGCTAATAATTAAATACAGACAGTCATGGCAGTTTAATTTTGTTTAATGTCTGTTGTTCATGTAGTAGTTTCCCACAGTAATATTAGCACCATCATATGTTTCTCCACCAACAGGTGATTGTGGATGCCATGAAGCAGGAAGAGAAGGTCAGCAGCAGCATCCCCCTGCAGACGCCTCGAGATGCCAGCGTCACTCACATCCTGGTCTTCCCAACCTCGGCAACCGCTCAGGTAACTGAAAACAGCAGCAACACTTGTCTGATGTTTGTCCGCTCCATGTTTGTAGTTTGTTTGTCTAACTTCTTCTTCTCTTTCGTTTGCCCTTAAAATGTCGTTGGCATATTGTGTTGTGGTGTATAGCTAGGCTGCGATATCTGCACCTTTCAGTTGTTTTACTCTTCTTTTTTCTTAAGAATTCAGAGCCCTTGAGGTTCATTGATGCAGATATCACCCACCTCCACTACTCTCTCTCCAGTTGGCCTTCTCTTTCCAGATGGTGACACCAAGTGTTTGCAAGTCTGTCTGGACATTATCTGTCCATCGTCTTCTAGGTCTCCCTCATAGTCTACGATCTTTCAGCTGCCTTGTATATATAGTTTTTAACCTCTCTGTCATTTTACATTCTTTCAATAGGCCATTTCAGTCTATTTGATCTGGTATAGACCTAGTGCCTGGTGTTGATAAAATCGCTATCTTCTGTGGGAGCTCTGGTACAGACCTAGTGCCTGGTGTTGGTAAAATCGCCATCTTCTGTGGGACTTCTGGTATAGGCCTGTTGTTGGTAAAATCACCATCTTCTGTGGGACCTCTTGTACAGACCTGGTGCCTGTGTTTTTAAAATCACCATCTTCTGTGGGAGCTCTAGTATAGACCTAGTGCCTGGTGTTGATGAAATAACTAATCTTCTGTGGGACCTCTAGTGTAGATCTAGTGCCTGGTGTTGATGAAATAACTAATCTTCTGTGGGACCTCTAGTATAGACCTAGTGCCTGGTGTTGATGAAATAACTAATCTTCTGTGGGAGCTCTAGTATAGACCTAGTGCCTGGTGTTGATGAAATAATTAATCTTCTGTGGAACCTCTAGTGTAGATCTAGTGCCTGGTGTTGATGAAATAACTAATCTTCTGTGGAACCTGTGGTACAGACCTAGTGCCATGTGTTGGTAAAATCACCATCTTCTGTGGGGCCTCTGGTATAGACCTAGTGCCTGGTGTTGATGAAATAACTAATCTTCTGTGGGAGCTCTAGTATAGACCTAGTGCCTGGTGTTGATGAAATAATTAATCTTCTGTGGAACCTCTAGTGTAGATCTAGTGCCTGGTGTTGATGAAATAACTAATCTTCTGTGGAACCTGTGGTACAGACCTAGTGCCATGTGTTGGTAAAATCACCATCTTCTGTGGGGCCTCTGGTATCGACCTAGTGCCTGGTGTTGATGAAATAATTAATCATCTGTGGGACCTCTAGTATAGACCTAGTACCTGATGTTGATGAAATAACTAATCTGTGGGACCTCTAGTCTAGTATAGACCTAGTGCCTGGTGATGTAACTAATGCTAATCTTCTGTGGAACCTCTAGTACCTAGTGCCTGGTGTTGATGAAATAACTAATCTTCTGTTGGACCTCTAGTAAAGACCTAGTGCCTGGTGTTGATGAAGTCACTAACCTTGTGTATGTCTGTATACAGGTGAACGCTAACCCCCTCCAGCAAGACCCCCAGAATGACTTCACTGCCCACCTGGAGCTGGATGATGTCTTCACAGATAACCTCATGGGGGATGATATGTTCCTGGAGATCTTTGGTGACAACTTTGATGCTCCAACCACCTCACCGCCTGGCTCACCTGTCAGTAGCGCACACCGGCAGAACTCTCGGATTAGTGGTGGCCCTTCTGCGGTAAGTCAGCGTTGAGTTGTCCTTATTTGAATAGTATATTCAGAGTTAAGAATTTTTATTTTCGTTTTTTAATATTGGCTTTGTCTCAGAGTTATTTTTGTCTTTTTTGAGCAGTAATGCATAATTGCATTTTCCTTATCCAAATGGCACCTTATTTGAACAGTATTAAGTCAGTAATGCTTTCCTTCTTTGAACAGTAAATGGAAGTTATATTTTCCTTGCTTGAACTGTAAGGCAGAATTATGTTTTTCTTGTTTGGGAAGTCAATTTTAGATGGAAGTTTGGTTATTTTCTCAAGGAATACTATCAAATAACCTTATAGATGTATAACTAATTTTTTGATGAACCGTTTGTTTCGTGAATATTGTGATTTAGCATGTTGTCTTGTGAACCTATAAATTGGTCTAGGAGATTCCTGTACGTAGACAGCCAATGTCACAGTCCCACAAGAAGTAATGCACATGTTTAAAAATAAAATAAATAACAAATAGGCTGTGTAGCATGGTCCTCATTGCATTTGCAGGCTGGAAACTTTGGGGGGAAAGTTCTGGTTGTTCATCCACTTCTGCACTTGGGTCTTTTTCTAGAACGTTAGTTTTGTTTGGTGCACATCTCTTTTACAGATGTGACTATTTATATGCAGACTGTTGGTTCCTTGCCTTTCAGGCAGATGCATTTTGATTTAAAACATCCCAGAACTGCACTTGTTGGAAGGCAGTGGATCTATACTTCTTTCCCCCACAGTGAAACTTCCAAACTCAGTGGAAAGCTTGAAGAGTAATCAATCTCTCTCTCTCTTGCTTTGTATCTGTGGCAAAATTCGTCTTCTTCAGCCATCTCTGCTCATATACTTAATCCAGTACGGCCATAAACTGAGATTATCAGCTTGAGGTCTCTTAGGTTCCCCCAAAGCTTAGTTGTTACCTCAAGAGCAGCGGTTCTCAACCTGTGGGTCGTGCCCCTTTTACAGCGGTCGCCAAAGACCATTGCAGAACATATATTAATTAAAGTTAATGAAGTAGCGACCCCAAAAAATGTATGATGGGGTCACAGCATTAGGAAGGTTGAGAACCCCTGCTCTACATGGTGTGGCCAGATGTAACTTCACAGCTTCTCCAGGAGAGGACAGTTTTGCAACATGTCTTCTAGCGTCTGCTCAGCTAGAAGACACTGGCTGAGAGCATTTTGGCTCATCATACATAATTTATAGTAAAAGTTAAGGACCCTTTTCCGTGCCTTTCTGGCGTATTGTGTATCTAGAGCTAGACCTTTATTTCATAGACCAACGGCACAAGATGGGTGATGTGGTCAGCATCACGCCGGCCGCCTTTACTTGTCAGGACTGCACCTGGTACACACTCAAAGGCGGGTCGACCTGCCAAGGTCATTTTTCAAAAAAGTCCGCCTCCACCAGGGAGCGAACTCACAACCTTCCGATCCGCAGGCTAGTGTCTAGCTGCTCCGCCACGGCGACTCATAGATAATTTATGTGAGTGTTTATTGAGTCTGCAGTCCAGTGTGTGAGCGGGACATAGTGTTCTGTTCAGAAGTGAGACTAAATCATGTGCTTCTCTGTCCACAGAGTCTGGGAGAGAGCCTAGCTGACCCTCAGGATGACGTCAACCTCTTGCAGCAGCCCCTGGCCATGGGCTACTTCATCTCCACAGCCCCTCCCGGCCCCCTGCCCAAGTGGTTCTGGTCTGCCTGCCCCGAGAATGAGTTTGTTAGTCCACATGTTTTTAAAGTGAGTGTCTACTGTTAATGTCCAGTTAGTCTTCTCTTTCTTCTTCTTCACTTTCTCATGTATATGTGTATGCATGTATGTTTGTGCAAGTAAGTGGGTGAGCGTGTATATGTGGGTGTGTGCATGCACACATGGGTTTTTGCATGCATTTTACCACCCATGCTTTTTTTTTCCTAATAGTATTCATGTGGTACGGGCAGGTTGATCCAGCCTAAAATGAGTACCAGGGTGTATGTCCTGGGGAAGTAAAGACGGTCGGCGTGATGCTGACTACATAACCAACCTAGTAGCAATTGGTCTGTAAAAATATGGGTGCTCTTCCTATATGCCCAGTGCGCCTAAAGGCGTGAAAAGGGATCTTTACTTTTTTATGGTATTCATTATATGCATACCATCATATGATCATAACATTCTTTATTAGTAAAATACAACTGCTATGCGAAAGATGGGCGATTGGAAGTGCCAAATTTAAGACAGGCCTGCTGGCCCAATTTGTGATCCTTTGAAAATAAAGTTTGTTCGTTCTCTTTTACCGCTTTGGACGTTAAGGGAGATATAAGGTTCTTCTTCTTGCTCTTCTTGCTGCCTTTACCATAGACAGATCATGCTGTTGTATTTTCTGTCTTATCTTTCCATCTTGTTCTTAGTCTACCTTGTGCTCTACTTCCTTCTCATTTGGTGTATGGTAGGATGTCACAAGGTGTTCTTTCTAAGTGTGCAAACTGATCTGCCATCTCCATCTGTAATTTAGAATTGGTATTGTGCCATTTTCTCATATGACGTCATTCCTGATATTATCTTTTCTGGTCACTACTGCCGATCTTCTCACACTTATTATTTCCATAGTTACTTATTTTCTTGTCTGGTTTGTTGTGAGTGACCATGTTTGGCACTGGTAGCACAGAGTAGGAATGTGTATGCTTTTTTGTGGGATTATTTTTTTTTTCTGATTGGGATTGCCTTATTCTTCAAGAGGTTAGTAAACTATCTTGGGATTGTCTTATTCTTCAAGAGGTTAGTAAACTGTCTTGGGATTGTCTTATTCTTCAAGAGGTTAATAAACTGTCTTGGGATTGCCTTATTCTTCAAGAGGTTTGTAAACTGTCTTGGGATTGTCTTATTCTTTAAGAGGTTAGTAAACTGTCTGTAAATTGGGAATGAAAAGAGAATTGCTAGGTGAAATAAAAAAGAGACAAGTGAAATATTTTGGCCACATTAAAAGACATAACAGTATTGTAAAGATCATCCTAGAGGGAAAGGTTCAAGGTGGGCGAGCAAGAGGCAAACAGAGCTACACGTGGGAGGATAACATCAAGAGATGGACGAACAGCAGTATGAGTGAGTGTACATCAAGGGCAAGAGACAGGGCTTGTTGGAGATCCATTGCAGCCAACCTTCATTGTGGAGACGGCACCTGATTGATTGATTGAAACTGTCTGTGCTGCCTCTATTCACCACTTGTTGATGTGTGTGTAGGCGGGTTGTAAGCATGAGGATTTAACCCTTTCGCTCTCAGATGCTCCAAAACTGGCACTTCCTCTATGTTCCATGCACTTGTAATTGCCACTTAACCGAGAATCCATGCACTTACTCTGGTAGCACATGTGCAAATGTAACATAGGTCCGCTAATGGCTATAATTCCTAAAAAATAGCATTTGTGGGTGTTTTCTTATGAAACCTCTTCAGCAGCAGTGTTGCAGGGTAAAATGAGTCCCTGTACACAAATTTGGGGGGAAACCCTAAATTTACAAAATTACTGGTTCTTGGCATACTGGTTCTTGGCGTTGTTGTTTTGTTTTTTTTCCTAGATCATTGGGCTGATATTTGCGTGGACATGGAGGCTGTAAGGGCATCTTTCTGATGGCTTGAGAGCTGCACAGCCCAGGGTTATTGTAATGGACCCACATTGTATGCTTCAGAAAAAAGAAAACTGGCATCCTGTGCTTAGAGTGGCTTGCATCACTTGATAAGACTTTCTGTTCGGGTGTACGAAGTAATGAACAACCTGATAGATTGGCTGCTGGATGAGAGCTATTTAATGATTTAGCAGATGTAGGAAGGCTGTCTGGGATCAGGTGGACAACGCAACAGAGCAGAGAATCCATACATTTATAGACTAATTCAACAGAGAGGTTAGCCAAGGTTCTGGAAGATATTCAACGCTGACGGGGAAACATAGGTGGACTTTAATTCAGGTTGCAGCTAATACTGTTAGCATGCCTACTCTTTGCTGGCTACTGAAGAAGAGGACGGCACATGTACGGGAATGCCCCGAGTGCAGTGATGTCAGTACTTGGAAAGGTGCCAGCAAACAGTTGTGAGCATTGTGGTTAGTTAAAGAGTTCATGTTTGTCTTCCCGCAGTCTGCCCTACACATCCATGAGTCATCTCGGCACGATGACTTCCTTCACAAGACAGACAACCGAAGCAAGCCTCACGCCCTGGACTCTCACATGACTTGTGATATACTGAGGTATGTATCATCTCTCATTTCTTCTTTTAGCCCAGGTGACGTTGGTCACAACGTCTGTCCACAGATATACTGAGGTATGTATCATCTCTCATTTCTTCTTTTAGCCCAGGTGGCGTTAGTCATAACGTCTGTCCACAGATGATCTTCTATGCCTTGATGCCAGACCCTTCAGTTTCTCCTCTCATGGTATTTCTTTGGCCTTCTCCTCTCATGGTTTTTCTTCAGCCTTCTCTCATGGTCTTTCTTCAGCTTCTCCTCTCATGGTCTTTCTTCAGCTTTTCCTCTCATGGTCTTTCTTCAGCTTTTCCTCTCATGGTCTTTCTTCAGCATCTCCTCTCATGGTCTTTCTTCAGCTTCTCCTCTCATGGTCTTTCTTTGGCCTTCTTCTCTCATGGTATTTCTTTGGCCTTCTTCTCTCATGGTCTTTCTTCAGCATCTCCTCTCATGGTCTTTCTTTGGCCTTCTCCTCTCATGGTCTTTCTTCAGCATCTCCTCTCATGGTCTTTCTTTGGCCTTCTCCTCTCATGGTCTTTCTTTGGCCTTCTTCTCTCATGGTCTTTCTTCAGCAGTCTTACCCTCTACCTCTTCCGCCGTGACCTTGAACTCAGAATTCCGCTCTCAAGTCTAAGGAACGTGTGTTGATTTTTATTATACAGCTAACCATATCTTGTTGTGTGTCTTCTTCTTTCTTCTACTTCTTGATTTTCACCGGTTGTATACTCTGCTAGAAATTTCTTGTTTATCCACTTCGTGACTTAGTTTAATTTTTTTCTTAACTTGATTTGTGTGTGCACATCTGTTTTACAGATTTGTATGCAGACTATTTATTCCTCCAGTGTGAGAATAAGGAATAGAAGAAGACAAAAGAATATGTTTTCTTTACAAGCTTTTTTTTTTAATTAGTCGTTTTTAAGTTACCATTGCCTTTAGTTGTCCTGTGTGTCTGTCTGTCTCCGCAGAATCTACACTTAGCCATTTGTCACAAAGCACAAACTGTAGTTTCTGCATTGATCCTTGTGGATCTCCATGAAAAAATGCTCTCGTGGCCTGAACGAAACATCTGTGAAACTAATCCATAACATGTAAGACTTGACCACCTTCTCACAGAGACCCCGCCATTTCTGTAAGCTTTTATTAAGTTCGATTTTGTTTGTCTTCTTCTTCGTGTTCACCAGCTGTAAACTCCGGCAGAAAGTTCTGGCTGTTCGTCCACTTCTGTACTGCAGTTCCGTTCCAGAACCTGAGTGTTGCGTGTGCATCCATTTGACAGATCTGACTCATTTGTGTGCAGACTGCTGGTTCCTTGCCTCTCAGGCAAATGCACTCCAACTTCTAAGGAAGCTCCCAATTAGTCGACTCTTACGACATGCGATTGCAGTGTTGATTCGGACACAGGTGTAAAATTACCCAACCAGTAACCCTGGCTATATCAGAGATGTGACATTACCCAACCAGTAACCCTGGCTATATCAGAGATGTAACATTACCCAGCCAGTAACCCTGGCTATATCAGAGATGTAACATTACCCAGCCAGTAACCCTGGCTATATCAGAGATGTAACATTACCCAGCCAGTAACCCTGGCTACATCAGAGATGTAACATTACCCAGCTACTAACCCCAGTCGAGATGAGATGTGTAGCATTACTCGACTAGTAACTCGGGTTGAGACAGTTGTATCATTACCCAACTTATAACCCTGGCTGAGACAGAAGGGTAACATTACCCAGCTTATAACCCTAGCTGAGATAAGACGTATACCATTACCCAACTAATAACCCAGGTTGAGAGATGAGGTGTAACATTACCCAGCTTACAACCCTAGCTGAGACAGAGGTGTAACATTACCCATGTTGGGACAGAGGGATAACATTACAAGGCAGAGGTGTAACATTACCATACTAGTAACCCTGATGTGTAACATTACAAGGCTAATAACTCTTATTTTAACAGTTAGGGAAAGGTTTATATTTGAACATTTTGGAACACTGACAGAATCTACTACTAAAGTCTGTTGTCTGGTCAGAGTTTTTTTTTTTTTTTTTGGTTGTACAGTGTTACTTGGTTTGTTATCAGGTAATAGATATTCAGTGTCCACTTGTTTTATACCAAGCAGAAAAATCCACTGACTTGTCTGTGTGAGTTTCTGTTGGATGTTTTCTGTGTTTTCAGACTTGTGTCTCTCTTGTGGGGTTTAGAATGTGATGTGAGGGGTCTGGGTTGCATGGGTTGAGTGGCTAATTGAAAAAAGAAAAGGGGGGAGGGGCGGTCCTAACTTACATGTGTTTTGGGAAAAATCAGGCAATATCTATTGTGGGGAGTTGGGTACATAGCTTGCATTGGGAAAAAAAAAAAAGGGGGGGGGGGGTAGACCTAGCTTGCTTGTATTGTAAGAAAGGCATTGAATATATTGGAGAGAGAGAGAGAGAGAGAGAGGGGGGGGGGGGGTGTGAAGGAGCCTAGCATACAAATAATGTTGCCAGTTGTTCTCTCTTCATTACGGGCTTCCATTTGGAACTGAGACCCATGTCTGAGAGGTGATCTATCTATTATGTTGTTGTTGATGATGATTTCTGTGAATGCTGCTTGTTGTGCTGCCTCCTGCAGATGTCTGAGAGGTGATCTGTCTATAATGTTGTTGTTGTTGATGATTTCTGTGAATGCTGCTTGTTTTGCTGCCGCTGCTTCCTGCAGGTGTCTGAAGGCTACTAAACACCCATGTGTCCCTGCAGTTTTTTGTCTTTTGTGGCGGGAATCTTTCAGTATGGGTCTGTCAGTATAAATGCTCCACAGTGAAACAGCAACCTTAACTCTTTGTTTATGTTAATCCTTGTTTTCTGTTTTTAATTTATACAATTCATCACGTGTTTCCCTGTTGGTACCTGTAAATGTACTTTCAGTCTTCTCTTTGTGTGTATAGTCTCCTGTGAGACAGGATGCAAATTTCAGCAACAGAGAGACATGTGTCAAGTTGGAATACTGACCTTGACCTGTTCACTCCAGACTTCTTCTTCTTTGGCACATGGTCCAGAAATTTGGCCCGGCTGTAGGAAATTTGTTTCTGAGAAGCATGTGATTTGTTCTTTTTGCGCATGTGCAGTGTTTAATAGACCTGGAATATGAATACATTTACTAAAAATAGCATTCAGGGGGTTTCATTGTGAACCGAGGGGGGGTTTTTTTTAAACCAAGTTTAATTTAACCACAAATAAATTCCTTAAGTCCTTCTTAGGACGTTATTTTTTTTGTTATTTGAAGCCCCACTCTGGCTTTTGCCAGGGGCCGCAATATAGGCAGGTCATCATTATGGCCAAATGTCTGAACGCGGTTTCTGGGACCTCTCCACGGTGATCCTCATCCGCATGGTGGCACTTTGTGCCATCGGGTGTTTATCGCTTGTGTGATGTCCTGGTGGGGTAGAAAGTCAGTCAGTCAGTCAACCACAAATTTTTCATAAGCCTCAGTGGTATAGGTCAAGGGTCAGGGCGTGGGTCACTGGATACATGTTTTTCTAGGCCCACACAGAGTTGTTCCATTTACTGCTTCACTCTGTTGACGTTTGTTGATTACCCTTTTTATGTATCTTTTATATTTTTGTAAACAGCATAGAAAATGTGAATAAATTTTATTACTGACCTGTGAAAATATTTTAACAAATTTTTTTTTTCAGGAGTTCTTTTGGGATACATTTTTTTCTTCGTTTCCACGGGGGCAAATTTGGATATTCCTGTTTCTCCTCTTTGGATATGATTGAAATCTCCCCTCTTTGGATATGACAAATCTTCCCCCTTTGGATATGACTGAAATCTCCCCTCTTTGGATATGACTGAAGTCTCCTATCGTCACTGTCTGTAATGTTAAATCCATAATTCCCACACAGATGTCACAGCTGGAGTACCAGGTCCCGGTTGAGGGGAGCAGATATGAGATTTTATGTTTCAGTGACCAAACCAACAGCTTTATGTACATTAGCAAATGTGAATGACAGAAAGTGTGCTGCAACTGCTGGGTGCCTCAGTGAAGTCACTGCTAGTGGTTGTTGTTTTTTTTTTTTTTATCTTTATCCCAAGAAGCCACAAAACCGATATCTCAGATTTGGATCCAGTTCCTCCTAAATGTCACTTTTCTGGCTCATCTATAGTGACCTGTTTATGAGACATATAGTTAATGCTATTGGCTGCGTCCACACTTGCGCAAGGCCAGAATATGAATACATTAACTAAAAAGAGTTGGGGGGAGGGAGGGAAGGGTCCTTTGAGCACACACAAAATGTGTAACGCCAAGTTGTCTATTTTTATGAAAGCCTCAGTGATAGCGAAGACGTCCAGTCATGACATAAGTCACCTGATAAATATTTTTTAAACCCTTGGGGATGTATCCTGTTTAACTCTTCACCCTGTTCGTGTTTATTGATTACTCTTTATATAAGGCGGAAAATATTTGACATAAACTTTTTGCTAATTTATTTGTGACCTTTTTTTTCTGGAATTCCAAAGGGGTATTGCCGAATTATTATTTTTTTCAAAGTGTTTCCGGGTGAGAGGGTTAAACTGTTCTAGAGGCAGTGTAATGAGTGTTTTGACATGTCTAGACACACACAAATCATATTTGTAAACTGTTTCGTTTGGCAGCTTCATTTGCAGCTAATGTGCAGGCATATCTAAGGTTTTTTTTTTTTAAACTACCCCTAATCCTGGAATGTTGACCCGGTCAACAAATGCCTGCAGAAGTCAGATGTGTTGGCCGAACAGCACAAATATCGCAGCCATGCTGTAAGCGGACACAGCGCAGTTAACATCTTTAGATGAATGCAGAAGAAACCCTCCCCCCCCCCCCCCCCCCCCACCACCAATTGTCTGAAGGTGTAGCACCCAGCGACTCAAAGGGCCACATGACATGCCAGCTTAACAAGAACCAACCCCAGTTAACCCTTATAGCTAGAGAGAAGGAAACAGTGGAGCTATGAAATAACCCTCTGGTAGACTGGCTCAGCTGTCCTAACCCTGGTGTCCTGGCTCTGATGTCCTAACCCTGGTGTCCTAACCTTGGTGTCCTGGCTCTGATGTCCTAACCCTGGTGTCCTGGCTCTGATGTCCTAACCCTGATGTCCTAACCCTGGTGTCCTGGCTCTGATGTCCTAACCCTGGTGTCCTGGCTCTGATGTCCTAACCCTGGTGTCCTGGCTCTGATGTCCTAACCCTGGTGTCCTGGCTCTGATGTCCTAACCCTGGTGTCCTGGCTCTGATGTCCTAACCCTGGTGTCCTGGCTCTGATGATGTCCTAACCCTGGTGTCCTGGCTCTGATGTCCTAACCCTGGTGTCCTGGCTCTGATGTCCTAACCCTGGTGTACTGGCTCTGATGTCCTAACCCTGGTGTACTGGCTCTGATGTCCTAACCCTGGTGTCCTAACCCTGGTGTCCTGGCTCTGATGTCCTAACCCTGGTGTCCTGACTCTGGAGTCCAACCCTGGTGTTCTAACTGGTTCAACATTTAAGAGTCAACATTTAAGAGTCCCCCCCCCCCTTTTTTTCCCTATGGGATTGCATGCAGCCTGAAAGGTTAAAGCACAGTGACTGAAAGAACCACTATGTGGATATAAATCCAATAAGAGTACCTTCCAGACTCCTAGTTCAGCCATACAGAACAGTTAAGTTAAAGCACCTGGCAGTTGCAATTCCACAGCATGCCTTATAGGTTGGCTGTATATCTGAGTAATTAAAGATGTCTTGAAAGAAACTGACTCACAAAGAGAACTGGCTGCCCACATCAGAAGCAGACAATCTACATTCTTTAGCCATGTTGTGGGGAGGAGAAATCTGGAGTACATTGTGACGGTGGGAAAGTTGGAGGGGACAAGAGGTCGAGACAAACTGAAAGAAAAGATACTGGGCGGTTGGATTTCATGACATAGAATATCATCTGTGTCAGAATTTATTGGAAAAAAAAATGTGAGATAGAAAGTTGTGCGTAGACATAATGATCAACGCATCAGGGCCTGGACTACAAGATGTAAACTGTAAGCTGACCTTGATTCAAGTGATAAAATAACGTATGAGGCAGAACATGGTTCACTGTTCCGTGACTAGCAAGGACTCTTGCCTTAGTCATGACATCCCCCCCCCCCCCCCCAACCCATCTTTTTTTTTAATGAGACATGGGTCAAGTTGTCACATCTACTGGGTTGTCTGTCACAAAGTTAAACCTGTTGATATTTTCAAGACAGTTTTCTGGTGCCCCTTATTTATATCTGTTAAAAGTAGAAGAGGATGGATTGAAGGAACCTCTACATCCCAGGGTAGAAGAGGAAAGACTAAACAAGACTGTAAGGTACCTCTACATCCCAGGGTAGAAGGGAAAAGTACAATCACCAAAAATGTTCACATGATTATCAGTGTGAATTTCCTTGTGTACAAATTATGTCTCCATTATTAATGCTGTTGTTGTTTCCATACATGAAGTTTACAAATGAAATGTTTGAGAATGTATTTCTTGATGCGCCGCAGAGATGATTTGTCTCTGCAGCCAGGAACTATTTGATATTGTTGTACAGCTAGTCAGTGACATCTGCCTTGTACATAGGACAGCATCAGATCCTTGTTTTTATTCTCAGTATCCCTGTGTCTGTGTTGTGCCTGCTTTAAATTATGAATATATCTACTGGTAATTACATTTATAGTAGCTGCAGATGTCACAGCCATGATTGACACTGGAACCTTCATCCCCTAATTTTAGCAGAATATTCCCCATGCCCTATGTTTATGTACATTTATATTTGTCGATGTTGTGACTTGAGCTACAGACTTTGAGCAACTGGGGGATACAGAGAGAGAGAAAGTTTGGTCAATTTTGGGATACAGGCAGAGCTTAACTGTGAGAGAAAGAGTTGACCAGTTGTGGGATACAGGCAGAGTTTGTATACCGTGAGAGAGAGAGAGACTTGACCAACTGTGTGGGTGGGGTTAACCAGTTGTGGGTGTGTGAGAGAGAGAGAGAGAGAGAGAGTTGACCAGCTTTGTGTGGTGTGGTGGGTGGGGTTAACCAGTTGTGGGAAACAGGCAGAGTTTATCAGCTGTAAGAGAGTTGACCAAGTATGTGTGTGTGGTGCGTACATTGGGATACAGAGAGCGTTCGATCAGTTGTGGGATACAGGCAGAGTTTATCAACTGTGTGAGAGAGAGAGAGAGAGAAGGTTGACCAGTTGTAGGTTTGAGAGATAGTTGACCCACTGTAAGTGTGAAAGATAGTTGACCAGCTGTGGATGAAAGGTAGTTGTAGGTGAGAGAGAGAGTTGACCAACAGTAGGTGACAAAGTGAAAATGTGATTAAGTATGAGCTATAGCGAAAGAGAATTTGATCATTGTATATTTCTCATGATTGTTATGTAAATAGAAATATTGATTGTACTTTTCTATACATTTTTGATTCTTAATATCAGATGTGATTGTTTGGTCATGATACAAAAGGATACTTCAGTTGTCCGGCCATGATACAAGTTGGTACTATTGTTATCATAATTTCATTCAGCAGTACATGTGTTGATACTGTAATTGTTTGGCTATGATGCAGAATGCTACTGCAATTGTTTGGCCATTATACAATATGATACTGCAATCGTTTGGTCATGATACATTATGAAACTGCAATTGTTTGGCCATGATACACTGCAATCATTTGGCCATGATACAAGATGATACTGCAGTCATTTGGTCATAATACAAGATGGCACTGCAATCATTTGGCCATGATACAAGATAATACTGCAGTCATTTGGCCATGATACGAGATGGTACTGCAGTCATTTGGTCATGATAAAAGATGATACTGCAGTCATTTGGCCATGATACAAGATGGTACTGCAGTCATTTGGTTTGGCCATGATACAAGATGGTACTGAGGTCATTTGGCCATGATACAAGATGGTATTACAGTTGTTTTGTCGTGATACTGCAATTGTTTAGTCATGACACAAAATAGTTATACAATATGATACTGCGGTTGTTTGGCCATGATATAAGATGATACTTAATTAGCGTAATCCTACTTGCCGCAACTGAGATACTATGACTAAACTCATATTGTTGTTAGAGGAGACTGGACTGTCCCCTGCTTACTGTACGTTGTTGATATTACAGACTTGTATGTTGTTTATGTAAGCGTGTGTGACCCAATGCTAGACGTATTTTTACATATTATATGTTACTAGATGATTCTGGAATGCAGACATTTTATGTATTATATGTTAGATGATTCTGATATGCAGACAGTTGACATATTGTATGTTATTTGATGACATTGAATTGGAATGCAGACAGTTTATGTATCACATCTTTCACATATATGGTATTGTGTACAGCGTATCCTGAAAGCCCATGTGTATGTGCTATGACTGAGCTGCTCTGGATCAAAGTAAAGGACTCTTTTCCATGCCTTCAGACGTATTGGGCATATAGGGCTAGACCTGTATTTTATAGACCAACCGCCGCCTTGACTTTCCAGGACTGTACCTGGTACCTACCTATTTAAGGCTGGGTGAACCTGCGAGCTAAGGTCATGGATGTAAGGTGTTGTGCACTCTGCTTCCTTTGGCAGTTTCACTCGGTTCACTTGTACCTTCTGATTCTTTCTGTCCCCAGTTAGGAAAACAGGCTCTCTGTGAGCTGGTTGATAGGAAAATAGTAGTCAGACAAATGCTACACTGGTAGCTGTAATGTCTGTTGAAGTGGTAGGGTACAACAACAAAATTGCTGCTGTGTTGCAGTCAGAAGTACCACAAGTTGCATGTGTGCCAGATGGTAGTAGAGGTTTTTGTGGAGTTGGGGCTGATGAAGAAAAAGAGGTGGATGTGTTGGGTGTGAGTGGAAAAAGCAGCTTCAGGGCCTGAGTTACTTCCTGCTCAACAACGTTGTATACCAGGGGCAACGACAGTTTATTCAGGGGTCACAATATTAAAAACAGACATTGTCACGTGGCTTAGAAAAATCATTAAAACAGTGCAGTTAGTAGGTGATCCGTGAGCTTTTTGCTAGGTCTCTGTTTGAATATCCCTGTTGTATGCTGTAGAACTCGTCTCCCAGCCTCATCCTCACTAGGTCGGCTAGTCTCTCAATTTCATCATTTGTATGGCGACCTTATCCTGTCTCAGAAAACGTTAGCTTTTTTTTTTTTAAATTATTATGTGTCTCACACACATCGGCACCAGAGATTGTATCTACTCTAATCCAGCATATTAGACTGGCAGAGAGAGAAAGAGGGGCAACTTTATGAAAGATGAACTGTGATGTTTTTATTGACCTTGGAATGGAAACGAATCGTGTGGCCAACATTAGTTACTCATTGACGATCACAGCGTTTTCTCATCTTCATCATCACTTACCCTTTGTAAATTACCTTTTAGTTGCTCATATCACTGGAGACAGTAGTTCTTGGCAAAGATGTGAAATAAAAATCTTGATGCATACATCCTGTTTGATATGTTTATTTTGATCTGTCAGTTCTCTCCAAGTGTTTTCAGGGGGATGGGGGAAACCAGATTAGATCCACTGACTCCCCAACATGCACGTCGTAGAAGTCGACTAATTTAGGGCATCCTCTAGAGTCAGTGCTTCTAGCTGAGTGGCAAGGAACAGAGACTGCATAGAAATCAGCAATATCCCTGTGTGGGTTCTGGGGCCGTTATAGGGAAAAACAAGAATAGACCCACTGCCTACCCAAAACCATTTTGTAAGAGTCAACTAACTGGGAGCATCCTTCACCACCTCTTTGAATTCCACAGGGTTTAGCATCAGAGGCCCAAGGGTGGTCGAGAGAAACGTAAAATCGACCACATCTTGCGCTCATTGGGCTTCTAGGTAGGAACTGAACGTATGATGCGTTCCGTTGGTCCTAAAAGTCTGAATGCATGCCATCTACCTGAGAGGCAAGAAACCAGCAGTCTGCATACAAATAAGCCAGACCCGTAAAACGGATGCAAACGCAATACTCAGGTTCTGGAACAGGACTCAGGTACTGGGACAAAACAAATGCGCGGAAGTGGGTGAACGCAAGAAAGATCATCTGTAAGAATTAATCGGGCGTTTTGAGTTAAATCTGGCCGAGCAGTTAAGAATTGTGGGTTCCCATTAGTCTCTGTAAGGGTAAGATTTTTATCGTGGGGGTTGGGGGGTTAAGATATGTATCCGTACATTTGGTGACAACTGCAGTTAGCCATAGGTTGTTGGACCCTAGACCACCTTATAGCCTTAGAAATTGGTAATTAATGCTGGCATCATCATCTTTGTGTTCACTCACTCTTGTCCACTTCTGACTTTAGTTTTGCATGAACATACGTTTTAACTCTTTGAGTCCAGGGGGGTTTAGCATCAGAGGCCCAAGGGGTAGTCAAGTTATGTAAAATCAGCGCATCTTGCGTTCATTGGGCCTCTAGGCAGGACCTATAAACGTATGATGCATTCAAAAGAGTTGAAAATCTGGCTTATGCAGGCTGTTGGTTTCTCCTCTTTGAAGAAAGTCTAACAGTCAACCCTTATGACATGCTTGTTAAGAAGGCAGTGGGTACATTCTTGTTTTCACCATCAAGTACAGAAATGGACACAACCAAAACCTTCTGTAGTTTACAGCTGGTGAACACATAGAGGTGAGGAAAAGATGCTGGCGGATAGGACACACTGAGAAAACAGAACAGCATAACTAGAATGTCTTTGCATTGGAATCCACAGGGGCATATGAATAAAGGAAGGCCAAAAAACGGAGAAGAGAGCTGGAGAATGAAGTTAGAAAGATGGAAAGGACATGGGGAGAGCACCATGCAATGGCGAAGGATAGAACGACTTGGCGTGAGTTGGTTGAGGGCTTATGCTCCATTGGGGGATAGAAAGGCAGAAGAACACATCTATCTACAATTATCTTTGGGACTAAATGCTCTGGTACCTTGGTATGCGCTGGCTTTAGTATATGTGCTGTTTAGACAGTCATGTTTACTTAGTGACTTGGAATATGAATTTGTAAAAGTTAAAATTAGTCACAACACGGAACAGTATCTTTCTTTACGTCCCTTGAGATCAAGCCAGACACATGTCAATGATTCAGGAAAGTTAACCATAACAGTGCATTTATAGCATCGAATAGTCTCCAAGTTTTGCTAACAGTTTTAGTTGATGAAACAAGAGTGAAGGTGTCCTCGCATGGTTTTCCTGTCTCGCAGCTGCAGTTGGTTCACCCGAGGTATGCAGTCTATTCAGTGAAGAATATCGGGGTGGGTCGTTGCAGTTTGATACTGGGGCTCCAGTGTAGAATTTGTGTATGTTGAGCCCATTTATTTTATACTTTAGTCACTTTTGCCTGTTTGGGTGGATATTTAACCTCATAATCTTCAGCTAGGTCCAAGCAAGCATCGCTTCAGAGGTCCCGGGTAGTTAACATCCTTTGGATATTTTATTTTGTGAGGGCCCTTTGTGCCGAGGAACAGATAGATCCAACGCTCGAAACTCGGGGGTAGGGCGAGACGGATATACAATTAGACTTACTGGTACCATCTGAATTTTAACTCTGCGCTTGCTGCTGAAGTTGGGGGCGGAGCGCTTATTGAGTATCCCGAGTGTTGTGATGTCGATTCTTAATTCAACATTCAAAACACCCTCGCCAGAATAACCTGAAAAAAATATACAAGGATACTAACTGCCCGGGACCTCAGAAGCGAAGTAGGGGACAGGAAAAAAAACATACTTTCACCTTACTGATTTTATTGAAAGGAGCTCTTTCTAAACAATAATCTCTCTGGGAAGTATAGTGTGGTTACATTTTCATGTCATGTAACCGCTTTGCAGTATCTTAGTGTATCTTAGTCTTAAGCTAGTATTAACCCTATCTATGTATAATATACCAATGCGAATAGAATTTCATTTTCATGGAAAATGAACAATATTTTTTAAAGGACAAATAGTAATTTCGTATAAATCAAAGGATCATAAACAGATTAGGTATGTATACTAAGGATCACTGTATATAAATAGATTTTGCCCCAGCCTCATCTCACCGATTTTATTACTTTAAGGTTGCAAAGTATAAAAAAAAAGTTCTTAATGGTAACCATTACTTGTTTTCTGATTTTTTTAACCAAGAAACACTGAACAGAATCACAACAAATGGACATCATAATAACAGACAATAAAAAAGAACATCAAACACTGACAAGAATCACAACAATCAGACATATACATGAATAACAGACAATGGTAAGAATCACCACAGACAGACACAGACAAGAATCACAACAGACAGATATCAAAAGGAATACCAGAAGACAAGAAACAAATGGGCACTGACAAGAACCGACACACAAGATAAGATAAAATCAAAAAGGTTTAAGATACTTTATTGTAACCAAAAAATGTAAATGTTGTGTGATAACACCTCAACAGAAACTACCAAAGCATTCCTTTTAGTTAAGTTCCAACTGACTTCTTTCACATAAAATTAAAACAATTCTAAATTTAATTTTTGCCAATTTGGCAACACTGTCAACTTTCTAGCTGACTATAATTAGTCCCCCCCCCCCCACATTTTTTGCAGCACAGTTCCTATTAGCACTGTTGAGCCTGTCAATTTTTAAAACAATTCTGATCTTAACATTCTCCCAATAAATAACACTAAAATTTTCAGTAACAAATTTATCATACAAGTAATTGTTGCCAAACAAATCTATTCACCGCTGATACAAAATAAAAGGTACAAATCACTTTTAACTACAAAGGTAAGCAAATGGATATCAATAAACCATAAACTGTGAATATTAAAAAAAATGAACGATGCCAACACAAACTATAATCAGTGACATGTGACAATGAATGTGAAGCCGCATGGTCTTGGTTCCAACAGAACAGTCACAAGAATCTTCTGCAGCCATTATCTGATGAGTCTGGGGCTCTAACGTCGCTTCTGGAAAATGTTGCCTCCTCCTCGACCCCGCTGACCTCGGCCCCGAGCAGCTGTGAATTAAACAAGAAAACTGGTTATTGGAAACATACAAATAAAAAGTATTGAAAACAATGTCGCACATTTCTAGGTGTCGACCAAATGCTTCAAAAGAGGGGGGGGTTGAAATTTTTCCCGTACCTATTTTCTAGAGGCTGAGCTAATCCCAGGAACCGCCTAGTTTTGAACACCCGCCGTGGGCTGAAGCAAGTCGCAGCAGGATTTGAAAGCAGGTCTCCTATCGAAGGCAAATTTGGCCCAGTGGAGGGAGAAAGAGAAAGGATAACCCCTTCAGATAAACTGTTCTCTCACGCCAGCAGTATCTGCTATATCAATCAGCCTGCGTGCAGATTACACGATTTTTGAGCTGGGAGATCAACAGTGAAAAAAAATGTTCAGCAAGATCGAAACTCATAAATTTTACAGTCGATGTTGCGTAGTCTAAGTAGTCATGTCTGTCCTTACTAATTGTGAGTAGGTAACAAACTGGAGAGGGAGAGGTCACCTCCTGCTGGCTTCCAAAGGTCCACGAGTAGTCAGAGGCTCAGTCAACGAGCCTCATGAAAGTTAACATGGCAGCAAATACACCTCAAGGGTGTGCATAAACTGAATGATGTAAATATTGTGATCATGCTGTAAAAAGGCAAATCATACAACTATGCCCTCAGTCAGAGAGACAAAAAAGGTTGTATTTCAACAGCAATGGACGCTGTTGTTCTAGATAAAGAATCGGGTTATCTAGCATGAAAGTGGATGCCCGAATCTTGGAGAAGGCTGACAAACTGTCGCAAGTTTCTGACAGGCCGTCATAGGATAAGTCTGCATCATGGTGAAGTTAAAGTTTCAAACAAAAGAGTTCTGGCTTCATGGAGACCTAGTAGGTGTTCTATTAACCCTTCTCTATTTATTAAATTGAGATGGTGAACTTAACTATCCACACAGAACTAGATCAAGAAATAAAAATTCAACCAAATGGGTTTTTTGCAACTTTTGTAACTTGTTCTAATAATATAGTTAAAAAAAACTCTTGTTGACACAAACAAGTGTGGGTTCAAGGGAATGTGGGGCGAACACGTTTTACGTCAGAGTGCATCTTGCTTACAAGCAAGTCAAATCAAAGAAAGCTGCCAATAACTAGTAACCAGAAGTTCTTGCTAGAGTTTACAACCAGTAAAACGTTAATTTCAAAGGGATGCACGTTTATCTTTTTCCTCTTTGCGTTCACTAGCTGGACTGCATTCCTGTTCCAGAACCTGAGTGTTGCGTATGCATGCGTTTTACAGATCTGACTCATTTGTATGCGGACTGCTGGTTCCTTGCCTCCCAGGCAGATGCACCCTGATTTCGACTTCCCAATTAGTCGACTCATACGACATGCATTGTAGGTAGGCAGTGAGTCTATTCTTCGTCGGAGTTAAGTCCCTGGCTGCAGTGCAATTACGCAGTGGGAATGAAGGAACGAAACTAATGACATACTTGGGGCTAGGGTTTGGGTAATACATGTAACGAGTACTTACCCATGACGGCCGCTTTTTGTTTTGTGATTCGTGCCTTGTCCACTCCTTAATTGCACTGCAGCCAGGGGACTGAACTCCGTCTAAGCGGCCGTCTCCATCCAGGTAGCGACCTTTATTGCAAGGAGAACCTCTCCTCCCCCCCCCCCCTATAATAGGGCCCCGGAACCCACACGGGGATGCACATTTATAATACATTAGTCCTCGTTAGGAGCAAGATTTTTAAAACATTTAGTTTTTATCTACCCATTGGCATTCGTCATTCGCGTTAACGATATTTACTGAGGTATATTTTAAACTGAGTGAAATAAGTGGGTCGCCGAACCCGCTTGGCGGCAAAAGCCAACATCAAAACCTTCGGGAATAAACACGGAAATGAGTGTTCAAAATCACACAATATACTTCGACTATTGCTAGAAAACAAGTATACATACTGAACTGAAAGCTACTATACACCATGTTTTAAAATGAGGACATGAATGTACTACTGCTTTTACACTTACCTTGTGCTCTCAAAATTGCCGACTTTCCACGACCAGCGCCGCCACCTTTGCCTTGAACTTTTTTAAACATCGGAGCATTCTTTAACATGTCTGGTAGCACAAAGAATCTGATTTTGCTGCCTCTGATGTAGACATTTTCCAGCTGGGCAACTCGACCGTCTCTGTAAGTAACCGTAATGTTCGCCATTTGACAGTTCATGTTGTCTTCTGCTTCGATCAGCTTTCCTCTGTAGACTTCTCCAGTTGAAGTTTCACAGGTCACAATATGACCCTCGGCTTCATGGAGAACCTTAATAGGAACTCCAATCGACATCTTGGATAATTCTCTTACCCGATGTCAATCACAAAGAAATAAATGCTGCACAGGCACGAAGATTCGTGCCGATTTAAAACATCGATAAAACCACCGGCTTGCGTCTTCCCAACGAACAAAGAATGGCGGAAAGAAACCGTTTTAGATGTTTATTTCCGTTTCGTCGTAGAGCTACTTCCGCTGTGAGTCAGATCGAGGCTTATGATCATCATCATGTGCCGTATAGATGAGCGTTGCCGCACATGGTTGTGCCACTTCAGACTATCCCAAGAATGTTATATTTTCTGTGTTCAGTGGCAGTCTCCGTGTGTGGGTTCTGGATCCTGATTTGGGGAAGCATGTTGTAAAAGGCAACTAATGATGGTCTGCTGAAATTGGAGACGTTCGACCGAATGGCTTGGATATCGCAGCTTAGACGGCGATTCAACGTCCTAACAAAGAAAAGGACATGGCGAACAACCTCATCGAGAGTAGGGACTAAAAGTGTGGCCAAGGTAACATATTCTCGTGGTGATAAGTGGACCCCTGCATGAAGCTGACTTCCTAGCGCTCATCAGCTTTAAACTCTGGTGCATAATTCTGGTTGTTCGTCAACTTCTGGTCTATTCCAGGACGACTAAGTTTAACGTGCACATCTGTTTTAGAGATCTGGCTTTTTGCAGACTGATTTCTAATCTCTCCGGCATAGGCACTCTGACTTTGAAGTTAACACTCTTTATTAGTAGCCTTTTACGACATGCTTGTTAGAGGGGTAGTCGGCGTCTGTGGTTTAGGCGTTGCGAACGCGCTTCATAATGCCAGGGTGCCAGGTTCGATCCCAACTGCGGCGGGCCTTGCGTTGGTTTCGACAGTGGTACCGAGAAGCCGACCGTCCGGAAAGCAATGACAAACTACTGGACGAAAACTTGCCTAGAAAAACCACAAACAGCCAACAAATTCTGGGGTTGATTCTGCAACGTCCTGTAAAGGATACGCAACTAACATTTGTTAGAGAGGTAGTTTACTGATTCTGTTTCTAACAAAATGAGGTCCCGGAACCCGGATGGCAAGTATCCAGAAGCCATGAGTTGTTAACCATTAAGCTCGGTATTTTGGATATCGCAACCCTTCGGTTTTGATTCCCTTAAATACCGTAAATCTGGAGAAAATGTGGCTTTTCTGCCTACCCTGGGCGTGCACCCGAGCCACAAGGAGTTCGTCACCCGGTCACCACGCAGTCTGGTTTGGCCAACTACACTAGCGAGTCGGGCATGGGGAGATCTTCTTTACATTACACAGTGCATTAAAACTATCAATTACCTTTCATAAGTTTTAAAATATAGAAGACGTTTCGATAGCAAACTGTGAATGTCATTAATATTTGCATTGGTTTTTCACACTTTGTCTTTCACTTCCCCTTTTGACCAGTCAATAGTCAATACCATGTCCTTTGCAGAACCTTGCTCCCACAACAACCCTCCAGAAAACGTCTCGATCTCAAGCAAGATATTCCGCGTCCGATACACACATCTGGAGATTATCCGCCACATCCTGCACCCATATTCTCTTTGGCCTTCCTCTTCTTCTCTTCTCAGGCAAATACCCCTCTAGTATTGTTCTCTCTAAACTTTAGTGACGTTTCAAGTGATGAAATTATTTAAATCGTCTGTGTTTTATTACCTTTAAGTGGCGCGGTGATTTATGTCACAGGCGTGAGGGGAAGTTAAGTCCAACATGATGTGTACAAGGAGATACTCCGTACGTCACTCGGGTGCCAGTCCTTAACTATCCTGGTTGTACGGAACCTCACGCAAGACCCCTACAGCACGTCCTCGTCGTGCACCACGGATAATGTCTCAAATGAGCATTAACAGAGCTGTCAGGGGATCTCGGAGTTCGGCGGCCCCCGGAGGTGATGTGTCCTTGTGGCTCTCATCAGCCCGCCCCCAAACGCTTGGGTGAAAAAATGTTATCAAAACTCATTAGGAACATGAGTAGGTTTGCCAAACGTACAGCCAAAATTACAACCCTTGGTTAAAAGACTGCGGAGTAAAGAGAACATTGTTCACTGCACATCCTCTGTTAACCCTCAGTGTCGTCGTCACCGCGCTGAGGTACACCACAACAGCAACCATCCATAGGCTGGCCATCCTTATACATCCTCGGTTAACCCCCAGTGTCGTCGTCACCGCGCTGAGGTACACCACAACAGCAACCATCCATAGGCTGGCCATTCATGTACATCCTCGGTTAACCCTCAGTGTCGTCGACACCGCACTGAGGTACACCACAACAGCAACCATCCTAATTGTCTGACAAAACTAGATCATACGGATCAAAATCTGACCATCAAAATTTGTATTGAACTGAAAAAGACCGAATGTCCACACCCAAAGACCCCACTCGCCCGAGTGTTGGGACAAAACTGATAACGATATGCCTGATGCAGGATGTAAAATTCTGTCGGGCTAACGGCTCGTCAAAGAAATCTAACGTGCGAAGAAAAAAGAATGTACCTATCTGTGTGGTCACAAAAGTCCAAAACCCACGGGCTGCTCCCCGCTGACTTCCAGAGGGCGCAGCCCCTGTCGAGCGGGAGGCCTGATACGGTTGTGAGGTTAAGCAGGCATGTGCAGGACGTGACGATTCCTTGGGTGAGCCCAGAACCAGAGCGCCATGTGCCGGCTCTGCATGCATGGAAGCCTCCTTGGATGGTGGGGAATGCCCATGATCTGCCCCTGCCTTCCCTTGAGGGCTAACTGTTCCACAGGGGGCTGCCCCAAAGGGGTACTCCGAGGGCAATACCTGCGGAGGAGACAAAGTGGACACCACACAAATCAGGCGACGTCTCGACCCACACAAAACAATGGCCACAGTCAACCTAGAAATAGGCCTGACGTCTTCCTTCGAAGTCGGAGTACAGCTGCCCATGAGGCAGGGAAATGAAAAACGGTTGTACACGCAAAAATCAGGTCCAGGTGAAAGCCAAAAGTCCAAGCGGACGATTAACCGGGACCTTCCACTGGAATTCACAGCCGGTGATCGATTAAAAAAAAAAAAAAAAATTACCTTTAATAGTCAACCTTCTTCAGTATTCAGTTCTTGATGTATGTCCCTTCTGATACTTGTAATTAATTCCGATTGTGTGGTAGTGTCCTTGAAGATATCTTTGTTCCGCAGTTTTATTTACTTTTTAATCTCCTCCTGGTTATCAAGATGTATATACATGTCATAACTGTAATGGACTACGAAAGCATGCTAAGAAAGGTGAAGATAGGGATGCTTCGAGAAAAGTGGCAATCTTCACTGGGAAGGTCACTGGTAGTGAGCATACTTTGGATCTTTTCTCCAGGCGATGCCGGGTGGGGAATGAAAAAGCAGACAGATTGGCTGGATCTGCACCACTGAATGATGAAGTGATACATGATGTGATCAGGACCCTTTGGGGAAAAGCAACGGAGTCAGGAGAGAAGCAAGATAACTATGGTCTTGAGAGAATGAAGCACCTGAATGTAACCAGAGGGTCTGGCCGGCTCACTACATTCAGAGGAAAGACAAAATGGACATATAACCAGATTACGCTGGTATCCTAGGTATTGGAACTCTGCGCTAGCAGCTGAAGATGAGGACGGAGCATGCATGAGAATATCCAAAGCGCTGCGATGTTAATTCTTCACTTAACTCTCCTCCTGGTGTATTATTTTTTAATACAAAGGGATAGATACGATTAAAATGTCCGCTACTCATCTGAGTGTCGGGGCCAAGGTCTGATAGTCCAGTGTCCTACCGATTGACAAGAATGCCAGTGAAATTAGGCTAAAAAGCTTAACCAAATGGGGAAGCAGAAAAAATGTGCATAAAACAATACAGATAACGTTTTGACCGGCAACCTTTGTCAAACATGAAGTGAACTACACAAAGTTTTCGACGAGGAGAGGAGAGTATTCAGATGCACGTTTTCTGCTTCCCCAATTAATTAAAATGTGTAGTCCAATTTCACGGGAATTCCTTGTATTAGCTTGACTGCAGTCACTCTATGTTTTTACCGATTGACAGACACGGTTCAGATGTCAGGCCAAAAATTTCTACTGTTTGACAGAAAGGTTCAAATGTCATCACTCCCCCCCCCCCCCCCCCCCCATTTTTTTAAGTTTCAGCACCAAACGGGGAACTCGTGCCCGATTCAGGTTATCCCTACACTAATAAGCTAAGTGCAATAACGTTAAAAGTGTCTAACGGAGTAGGGGGAAGCATGGTCTAAAGCATGGTATACACCTCGAGTGCTAGAGTTCAATCCCCGGTAAGGGCTGGGATTTTTTTTCATGTGGACTTGGACTTCTAGTAATTTCCCCTGGTCTCTGGGTAGTGAGATCGGACGCCCGTGTGCATTGTTGCTTACTTTACCAAATCCCTTGGCAGTTGAAAATCGAAAAGAGTAGCCAAACCAATAACTAGGACTTTCTGCCGGAGTTCACAACCGGTGAAATCAAACAAACCAACAGATTAATAGCGACTCTATTCCGAGAAATAATTCATTTGTTTAGGACACTTTATGTTAAGTATTTACGTTGAACTGACGTCACTCAGTATGTGTGTTCCCGGCTCTTTGATGACGTACCCATCTCAAGGTTTCTTTTACTTCTACACATACACCAGCTGCAAACTCCGCTGGATAAGCGTTAGTGGTTCATCTACTTTGGACTTCGGTTTTGTTCTAGAACTTGAGATTCTCGTGCACATCCGTTTTACAGATCTGGCTTATCTGAATGCAGACTGTTAACTCCTCGCCTCTCAGGCATTCCGACTTGAAGGAGACATCGCATTTTCACCGGGAACAGTTCCGTTTTCCCGGCTTGTCCAGACCGTGCGGCTGATCCCCCTCTCCCCTTTTTCGTCAATTTGCCCGGTGTAATGCATCATCATCATCATCATCATCAGGTACCTTGCCGACTGGCGTGGGCGATCATGCCTCTCCACAATCTGCGATCTCGTGCAGCACACACCTCCATGCCATGCAACAA